ACCTTGTCATCGTCGCTGTGATTAATCGAGTCTACAAACACGAGGTGCGGGTTAATGATTGTTTATAATATACGGTTAAAGATAGACTTGATAAACACTTGTATAGTGTTCGTGGATTTGCCGAACACATCTCTCTTGTAATTTAATATAGATCTTATTCGGACACTAGGCTTTCGTCCATTTCCAGTTCATTTATGTGGATTTATCCAAAAACGGTGATTATATCAAAAATGCGAATTGAATATGAACTTCCCCCATTTTTCGCTTCTCTCTTATTTTTGAAAAAAACAACTTATATGTTATATGAAAACCAAATGGAAATGACTATTCAAAAAACAAAAAAACCTTTTTACGGCCATTTTCTACCTTAGTGAACGAAACTACTTTTGTACAAAATCAATGATTTGAGCTAATGGATATAGATCTTACCTTGGTGCCATTGCAGCTCGGTTTTCCGATTGAATATCTGTGGAACCTTTTTTTTTTTGTTTTTCTCAATATCCTACCTAATAAAAACTACCCAAAAGAAAAACAACAGTTTTCCACCCATTTTCCACCTTAATGACGGAAACTTGTTTTAATAAATCCTATTAATAATTTGTACTACCGAATACAGAGCTTACCTTGCTACCATGTTCTTAAAAACATCCTACTTAACAACTTAAAAGTGCATAATTTTGGGCTAGCGGATATTGTTCTTACCTCGGTACCATTGTAGGTCAGTATTTGGATTAAATATCTGTGGATTACGACGCTGTAATTCCGCTTCACTCAATTCCGCTTCAGTCTTTTTGGTTTTCAAATTTTTTGGCAAACAGAGCAGCAACAACGGCGGCTTATCATATTTAGAAGCCGGTATGCGTATACGATCGGGGCTATCGGTGCGTATAAACTGGGCCAGTTCTGACAGCTGATCAAAGATGTGCTCATCGCTCTTGTGTTCCAGCTTCCATTGCTTGTCCTTGCGTATGATCTTAAATGTCTCAGTTTGGCATCGATCATGATCGCTGTTTCGCGCCACACTGCACAGAGCAAAAGATATGTTTGTTAATAATATAAATTGTATAGGTCCTTATACCGTTGTCATATGTCTTGGGTGAAGCTTACATTCTTGTATTGATATCAATATAATATGTGTTATACTCTCGATCGCACTGGCGCACTATATAGCTGCCGCATTTGTCGCCGTTTTCGTGCAGTTTCATAAATGAGTAGCCACCGCCGATGGGTCCGTGACAATATAAACGATCCAAATCCTCCAGCGATGGTGTCTTATACGACGGACACAAGTCCTGCATCCATTTCACCGTCAATCTGAAAATCAAATACAATTAGTTTGTCCACATGAATTGTTCTATGTTGCAAATCGTAAATCGTACCTTATATAAATGCCCAAATAGGATATAAACGATTTCATCTCGTGTTCCGTTTCAAAGCGCATGTGATACCCCTTGCGAAAGCCGACGATTTCCAGACGCACGAGTTGCTCGCTCTCCTTATACAGCGAGAAAATATCTTCGACCACGGCCACAAGGCTCCACTGTATATTAAAGAGGGGAGAGTCATTTGAAAAGGTTCCGAAATAAAATGGCCAAGGATAACAAGTTGATCATGAAAGTTTGCTAATAGATAAACACTTCGATAATACATGGGCATTTCCACAGAGTGATTCGATATGAGAGCCCTTTAAAAATATACACTTATAAATCGGTAAATTGTTAAGAGATAACCTCATTAAAAGGTCAAAGTACTCCTAAAGACATTAAATTTATGTCAAATAATGCAATTCTGATTGATTCTCATATTTTTTTTTGTTGTGTTTAATTATTGAAGTCGATCTTTCACAGAGCATTTACAAAATATATATAAGTCCAGTCAAATTTTCAGATAAAACGTCATACAAAGTCGCCCAAGAGAAATTATGAATGTTATAATGCAGCCACTCGTCTTTATACCCTGTTCCCGACATTATCACAGTCCGACCTTAGCAGGTAGTTAACTGAGGACCTCTTCAAATCGAGAATATATATAGATTTTGTATATAGTGACCACGCCCTCACAAATCCCTTAGGCTTAGGTTTCCCAGTCACAGTCAGTGTGACTAAGTACCGCTCCAAAAAAGTAGTAAGGACCTCTTCAAATCGAGGATATATATAGATTTTGTATATAGTGACCACACCCTCACAAATCTCTCAGGCTTAGGTTTCCCAGTCACAGTCAGTGTGACCAAGTACCGCTCCAAAAAAGTAGTAGGGACCTCTTCAAATCGAGGGTATATGTATATAGATTTTGTATATAGTGACCACACCCTCACAAATCCCTCAGGCTTAGGTTTCCCAGTCACAGTCAGTGTGACCAAGTACCGCTCCAAAAAAGTAGTGAGGACCTCTTCAAATCGAGGATATATATAGATTTTGTATATAGTGACCACGCCCTCACAAATCCCTCAGGCTTAGGTTTCCCAGTCACAGTCAGTGTGACCAAGTACCGCTCCAAAAAAGTAGCTCAATCTAATGTTAAACATAGCTAAAATCAAGCTGGATTTGCTAAATTAAATTTTAAGATTTTTCGGCTGACAATTTTTATAGCCAAATTTAGCTATAAAATAGCTGAATTGGTAGAATTCGCTGATATGCCAAAAAATGGTAAATCAGTTTAAAATCTAACTGCCTTCGGCTAACAACTCCCGCTATTACCAAAAAAAAAATAGCTAAAGCAGTTAAAAACTTTTACTGCATGTTGCCGAGGAACTCTAACATTACCCCTATTTAGTTAGAAGATAGCTGAATTAGCTAGAGGATTTATACTTTGCCATTGAGATGCCAAAAATAGCTAAAATAAGTTTAAAATTTCAACTGTTTGTCGCTGACAAGCTCTGAAAACAGCCTCATTTGGCTAGAATATAGCTGAAATTACAACTTCCTGTACTTGCCGGCAAAAAAATAACTAAAGCAGTTAAAAACTTTAACTGGATGTTACTGAGGAACTCTAACATTATCCCTATTTAGTTAGAAAACTAAAAAGCATAGTTTAGTACATGCCAACAAAAATAGCTAAATTAGCTAAAAAATAGGCGAACTGTCAGCACTGGTCACATTTTCCGGCACTCGTGGACCCCCAGGATGCAGTCTTGACGTCAGGGAGCCCCCTAAATAATAACGTTTTTGGACTATTTTTAGCTGGGGACAGAGTTTTGCGCTGGCGTAAGCACTGCGCCCAAGGTTTGGCTGTCAACTTGAATAAAATCAGTCGAGCATAATTGCTTTGCCCTTGCACATACGTACGTCAAAAAAATGATTCTTTCCTAGATTTTGCTCATGCCGTATCGTTTCCGAGAAATGGCCACAAATGTCAATTGCAGCTGTACCTACCTTTAGTGTTGCTTCCGACGTGACACGTGCCACCTTTAGCCCCGGTTCGGGTGAATCATGATGATAGAGCCTGACATAAACAGGTATGGAGTTGGGCTGCAGCTGCTGCTGGGAGGGCCTGTGACGACTTGGCTGTGGGGTCTGCTGGCTGCCGCGCAGCGTGTGGGTGTCGCTGCCGCTGTCATTGCGCTGATTGCCGGGCCCGGTTATCGTGGTGGAGAGGGTCGTGTTGGAGCCTGTGACTAGCGTTGTGGTCGAGGTGCGCGTTGAGCTGGCGATGCTGCCGTTGCCATGGGGCGGCTCCGTCGTTGACTCATTGGGGAAATACTCGACGGTGGCATTAAACTGTTCGGTTAGATAGGTGGGCGCCAGGTTGCAGATCTGATGCACATAGTGCCATTTGAGGCTGTCCACGTTCGGCGGATTGCTGCCCAGACGTCGAAAGGCGCTGCGTATTTTGGAGCGCACAAAGATGCGGTGGGCGCGCCACAGACTGCGCGGCAAATAGCTCTTGTAGGCCTTCTCGACGGACTGCGCCAGCAGCAGCTGCTCCTCTCTGTCAATTAGCATATCCATCACAGCCAGTCCCATCACTTTGTCCTTATGCTCCGGATAGCGTATCTCAGCGATCTGCTCGTGCAGCATATCGTAGCGCATTTGGTGGTACAAATATTTGTGGCAGTGCACATCAATCACGGACAGCTGTCTGTCCAGCTCCGGCACACGGAACCGCATCCTGAAACAGTAGCGCACACTGCAGCTGAGCTGCTCGCCGGGCAGCTGCCACTTGTGCTTTACTTTAAGCGTTATCGGTGATGTCTCGGTGCCGTTGGTCTGCTCGCGTATACCGAACAGCAGCACCGCCGTGGGCAGTATATCCATATGGCGGCACATTATGGTGCATATCTCCTCGCAGTGAAGCGACGGCGAGAACTTTTCGTAGTCGCCCTTGCGATAATTGTAGACGTGGATGAGGCCATCGTTGGCAATATTTTGACTGGAGCTTCCGCTCTGTAGCGAAGCTGTTGCCAAGCTGGCGCTGTCCGCCAGCGAGGTGCGTCCGCTGCTGCTGTCGTCCATTGCTTTGCGCCTGGTTAGGCTGCTCCGTGCGCCAAAATATTCAAATTAAATAGATCTGGTCGCCTCCCAGCCGCCGACGCCTGCAGATCACAGACGTTAGCTACGCTCGCGAATGTATTCACTTTATGCGTTATTTTAATGCTTTGTGCAGGTGCACCCACAGCACCAAATCAAAACAAACGAACGGAATAATTTAGTTCTTTTCTGTTTCTTTTTTTTCGCCTATTTTTGGCTTAGCTGGTGTCTTCGTCGGTGCCTCATTAATATGCCGTTTCTATTACTGGGATATTCAAGCACTTACTTGCACTTCGTTTGGATTTAAACTAACTACGTTGCGCAAAAAATGTAAATACAGCAGGAGGAAAAAAAATAATATGCAGTATTAGCATTGATTGTTTTTGTCTAGTTATTTTCTTTGAGGCAAATATCGATAACTTGTTGCGGACTGCGCTGCGTGATTTTCCAACACTCTCGGTATTTACTGTCAATATTCTGGCAACTCTGGTTAGTATGTCAGTTTTTATATAACCTCAAAACTAAAAATTTCAAGTATCGGGCGAGAAGAAAACAGTTTTTTTTTTGTGTAATAAATTCACTGAAAACTTGACGAAAAGCGTTTATCATATATACCAGCCATGTCCGACTTCGAGAATCTATCTGGCAACGATAAGGAGCTGCAGGAGTTTCTTATGATTGAAAAACAAAAGGCACAGGTCAATGCACAGGTACACAACGATTGACAATATCACAATAATTAACTGCATATTTAACAATAACCAAATATCTACACACAGATACACGAGTTCAACGAGATCTGCTGGGAGAAATGCATTGGTAAACCAAGCACTAAACTCGACCATGCCACAGAGACGTGCCTCAGCAATTGTGTGGATCGCTTCATTGATACCTCGCTGCTGATAACACAGCGTTTCGCTCAGATGCTGCAAAAGCAGAGCTCCGGTGGCATGTAGAGGCCCTCCAATAACTTAGGTAGTTAACGTTGCAGAGTGCATCTTGGTGTTGGCTCTTGCAGACCAAAGACAAACACAAATCTGGACCTTGTATTACCCCTGCCCAGCTGCAATTGACACCATGTTCCATGCTCTTTGCACACGTTAAAAGCAATAACAAAAAAAAACTAATTCTAAAATTACCTTGTAAGAAGTTGTTGTGTGTTTGGCTGATAAGCCAAATCCGGACAATGCGGTGCTAAATTTTAATTCTGTCGTGCACCGTGCGTGTTGCTGACGACGTAACTTCGAAATTCTGAAACCAAAAACCTTAAAAGCAAACAAGACAAGATCCAACTACATATACATTGTACTATATTGTTGTTGTTTTGTTTTCTCATCTTCAATAGTTGAATGTTTGCTACAAATTAAATGAACATTACAACAATGTTAACTAACTACTACGGTTGTTGTTGTCTCGCCTCGTTTTGTTCCTTTTTCAGCTGACGGTACAAATCGACCATTTTGCTGCGCTCGCCCTCGAGCATGTTGCGCGTAGCTGCGGGCAAATCTTTGCGCTTGCCCTTGAGTTGAAGTTTTGTTGGCGTACTTGCGGCTTTCTTCTTGCCGGTTGCCGGATTTTGAGGACTCGCAAGCGGCGCCTCTTTATCAAGCAGACTCTTAAGCAACAGATTCGACTTGCGGCCAGGTCGGGGCACAGTTTCAGTCTTGCTTGCTTTACGCGGCAGCGTCTTCAGCGATGGCGGGGCATGCACAATTTCGCCAAATTTAAATACATCACGTTTATACTCTGGAAGTGGGGTATCCTGCAAATGAGAGCAACGTTAACGCTTAAGATATAGTGTAGATTGGGGCAGGTTACCTCTTGCTCTTTCTCTTCTTCGGCTTCCTTGAAGGCGCGTTTTATAAGCTCTTTGCGCGTCTTGGCATCCATGCCGGGCTTTACTACTTGATTGGGTTTTCTACGTCCATTTTTGAGATTATGGCGCTCTTTTTGCTTCTGCTTCAACAGCTCATCGATCTCGTTTTTGGGGCGCTTCTGCACAGTTATTTCGCCCGTTGTCGGATTGCGTATGACATTGACCCCATATTTGGCCTCATATTGCGCCTCCCTGACGGAAGCGCTAGTTATACGATTTACTCGCCGCAGGTACTCATCATCTGTCTCGTTATCAAACTGTTTAATCTTGGTAGATTTTTGTCCACTCGCAGCAGCTGTTTGTGTCTTTTTTGTTTTTGGCACTTTGGGCTTGTCTTCTATACCTATGCTACCAATTTTAATCTTTTTGCCCGCTTTGGCGGCATCGGCGATTCTCTTAAACTGTTTAAAATTGTGCGAGGCGCGCTGTTCCTCGTTTTGCGTCGGTGGATTATTTATCACATTGGCCAGCCTGAGTGGTAAAATGCATTAGCACGAAAACTGAATAAATAATTGTATATTACATACTTCTTCTCCTTCTGCTCGATTTGTTTGAGTGGATCGCGTATGCCATGATGCTTGCGCACTGGTATTTTCCGTTTTCTCGCCATAATAATAAATGCCTGTTAGTAAAAACAACGTCGACTCGTGGTCACGTTTACTCAAAATAGCGGCAACAGCTGATTTTTGTGTAAGTATCGTCGATATATATCGATGAGAATCGCACTAATCTAGTGATGTGATTTCTTAAGATAATCGACGCTTAACATGTGAAATGGCAGCAGATCATCCTCGCTGTGATCTATTGAGAAATAAAACAATAATTTTGTTTTCTTCTAGCACCTTTACTTGTAGTAGAAGTTGGGGGTTACACACTTTTATACACTCCGTCATAAAGACATTTGGTGAATGTTTTAGGAAACATCAACTATTTATATATTAAATATCGAGAACAAAACATCGATATTCCGTAATTTTTTCTATTGCTATTCTGGCCCTAAGTAGGGCCGGCATGTTATCGAAGTGGTTTTATCCAAGGACTGCATAATAATACATACTTATAGGCACATACAGAGACACGCACACACAAGCTTTTTGCAGGGATTAATAAGTATGTATTGTATGCAGTACATTTTTTCAATTTGTATCTTTACACACATGTACGACCACAAACCCATTTACATATATGTATGTGTTCGTTGCATTTGCCGTGTGCTCACAATGCAAATGCAACGCGCATGCGCCAGATATATGCGAGCAGCAGGCAAAGCAGGCAGCCACAACCAGCAGCCAAGTAACTTGCGAGCTTATAAGAGAGCAGAAAATCGTAATATATTCAACGTGCTTCATGCTTAACGCAAACAGTAATTTATTTATATTTAACATAAAATGCTCGAGGCCTGTGCCAAGCAAATGTCCTTTGATGTGTGAACGTGTATGTAATACAGAATTGTGTTATTTTTTCCATTGTTAGTGACAATATTTTGTTAATAGCCCAATGCAATTTGCATTGACAAATGAATACGAAAAATAGTGTGTACATAAGTATGGACATGCAAGTAAAAGCAGGGCAAAAAAAAAAAAAAAATACACGGCCGTGCGTGTTTTCTATTTTTTCTTCTATTTTTTTTATGTATATGTACACATAAGGATATACATAATGTATATGTATACATATGTACCAGGGATGTTGTTTAAAAATTGATAGTGATGAGTGCCCTGGGACCGAATAGCAGCAAGCAAATAATCAAATATATAGTATGTTATATATACATACATACAATTGTGCGTATGTATGTATGTATGTCCATATAGATTTGCAGTCACATGTATGTACGTGCTACACATGTATGCGAGCGTGTAACGTGACAGCCGCAGCATCAGCTGCCAGAGTATCAGTGAGCTCATAACGGTGCGCGGAAACGTCAAAACTTCTTTATTCAACTTTTTGTTCGTGAGTGAAAAAGTTTCCATATATGTATGTGTGTGCATTAGCGTACATAGGTTACATAGATACATATATATGTAACAGTAAAGTATGCTATAAAACTTATAGTGCACATATATGTAAATAAATATGTATTTACGTATGTGAAACATAGAAAAATGTAATAAAAATCAACTATGTTTGCTTTCTTTTTTTGCATAACACAACTTCCATCGTAAAAAGTAACTGGAAAAGTCAAGATTATAAGCCTACATTTAGGAGCTCACTATTCACTAAGGAGAGCTGTTAAATAAAGAAACTATAAAAAACAGTACTTTTGTTAAAGAGATAATAAAACTGCAAGTGTCGCAAATGCATGCTAGCACAGTATTAACATAAATGATACAATCTGCATATGTACATACATATGTATATAAATGCATTTGTCTGCCCCGCTTTGGCGGCAAATTCGGCAAATGTTGCCCGCAATATTTTATTTTTACTTAATAATAAACTAATAAGAAAACATAACTTCGTGTGGTCGTCGTTTCGTTGCGTTTCTTTTTTCGTAACAAATTCCCGTAATCTTTCCCAAAACATAAATACAAGTATAAATACATATAGTATACACTTGTGTGTACCGTGTACATTTGCATAGATATTTGTTTGGCTTATCTAAAAATACCGTACATAAATTCAAAAGGCAACTGAAAGAAATAAATCTTGTATAATTGCAATTGCTTTTGTATGCGAGCGTGTACATTAATAAATACATATACACTCACACACACACACACACATTCATAATAAAGCGAGCCAAATAAGAATAATAAATTAATTTATTAATTTTCGCCACTTACAGCAAGACAATTATATATGTACATGCATTAGCAGCTATAAAAATACATGCACATATACATAGTTTGCTTACGTACTATCGTACACACATACATACATACATACAGAACATTCGCTCAAATAAGCGCGTTTAGCTGTCACCTTACTTAAATCAGAACTCAAGGTCACAGCATAATTTATCGGTCCTTTAAATAATCGAACTGGAAATCAAATGTGTGCACACACTATGAATATGCATAAGCACTTATTGCGGTATCTTTTTATAGCATACTTTAATGAGTTCTCCTTGAAGCGTGCGTATGTATGCATGCGTGCGTGCGTAATGTTCGCACGTGTACGCCATACACATACATATATGTATGTGTGCATGCGTGCGTGTATACGTATGCATAAATAAATGCCATACGCACATCCAGTTATTTTAATTACACTACACTATACTTGGCTTGCTGTGGTTTGGGTTGAGCCACTTGAGACGTGCAATTTAACTCAAGACCTTTGAGCGTGCATATTAAAAGGCTTTCATTGCGTATATCAATCATACGACACGTATAATTAGAGTAATTGCCACTAACAAAGAAAAGCAAGAAATACAATGCATTCCACGCAGCGAAATATACGTAAATTATTAAAAGAACGTTGGCAATCATTCGTCCTTACAGCCAAACGACAGGATAAGACGGCAGTAATCGGCTTGTAATGCCAGCCAAAAGGTGATTGAACTTGCCGGCGCTGCCACTTTGGCCACACACTCATACACATACACATACACATACACACGCACACTCACACGCACACAACAATTCGCATTTGCCCTCTTGCTTATCAGCCTTTGCCTTTTCGTTTTGCTTTTCATTATTCTGCGCTCGCTTGCTTCGATTATTTTAAGTAACATGCATATTTCTGTAGAAAAACAACCGCTGTACATAAAGGCAATGGGAGTATGCTTAATGTTCTCACTTGCAGGGTTAATTAAGTATGAAAATGTCGGTACTTAGGATACGGAATTGTTGTTTAGGGACATAAGGCACTAGGAACAGCTTGGAATGGAATGTGTCCATGGAATGCGTATGAATGTAATTACGTTTGTATGCTTGTTATTCGTGATGGTGGTGATAAATCTCCTGGGCCCATTCATTATGATCATCATAAGAACCCATGCATATGAATTCTAAATTCAAAAAATTAACCGTTGCAAACGATCCTTCACACTCGCATACCAAAGCATAAGCTCACAGAAGAAACTCACTCAACTGAGCAGTCGAAGCAGAACGAGTGAGTAACGAGCCGCGTCTGAAAATGAACTTTTAGGCACACCGCTCGCGAACAGTGTTGCCAATATTTTGTAATTTCAAAAAATAATGTAGCGGTCTTAGCAAATGATAAATAACACAATATTGTGGATTGTGTCTTTTAAAAACAATTATTTCGGCATAAATATGTTACATTTGAATAAAGTAAAGTTAGTCGATAAATTAATAAGTAATGGGAAAACTTTATTGATTGCCTTTTGGTTTTTTATTTTATTTATTAAAAAATGTTTTTAATGACATGCCTATTTTTTTAAATTCAAGGACCAGCTTTTGATCGAATTGGTTTATTACAAGCAATTAAATTGTATTTATGTGCTTTGCACTTAACAATTTAACATAAATTGGTTTTTATTTATTCCCTTTTTTTTTTTTTGATTATTTCTCAAGTGGAACTCGGCAACACTTTTTACGAGGGACTTGCTCACACGCTCGGCCAGTTGCTCGAGTTCACTCGAGTCAGTTGCTGTATTGTGGGGTGCGCGGGTGCGACGGCTAGCGGTTCCCAAGCATGAATAGCGTAGTATTCCTGCAATGCTCAGGCACGCGTGAGGCAATCAGTTATTGTTCTGCTCGTTCTGCTTATGTACATTTAAAGTATTCAAATATACTAAAGATTCTTTAATATCAGCCTATACCTACATACCTACATACCTCATACAATTTGCTGCGAGAGCAAAAGCACAAAACAAGCAAGCGAATTCGCTGAAATAGCGCAAAAAGAGACGCACTCATTTATATGTACATATTTATGTTTATATATATATACAACATGTATATGTATATGTATATGTATATGCATGTATAGCCGCCACACATCGGACAGCAGACGACAGATACCAGGAATCAGACAATAGCCGCGACAAAAGAGACAAACATTTTGCGCGACAAAAATTTGGACGGTTTTTTTTTCGTATTTATTTTATTTTATGTTGTTGTCTTGAATTCGTTTCAACAAATTTCGGTACAAATGCAATTGCAAGTGTGTATATGCGTGTGCGTGTGTTTATTAAGCTACATTTCCAATCAAATTTTTTAATTAAAAAAAAATCAATAAAATAAACAGAATATATTTATGTATTTGAAATTTGTTCTATACAGACATACATATGTATGATTTTTCTGTTTTGATTTCTTTTCCAGATCGTCTGCCGCCAGATTCAATTCGCATTAAATATGAAATGAAATCAATTTGACTTGTAATGTGCACATGCGTGACCAGAAATAACACACAGACACACACACGCACACACGCACACACTCAATCATAGTGAATAAGTTAAAAGTTTTGTGACGTCAAAATTGAAATTAAAAATTATAAATGTAAACGACAACTGCCGAAAATATTTACAAACAAGTCAACAAACTGAGTGCATAAATAATATCTTAATATGTATGTATATACATAGTATATGTATATTTATCTGAACTAAATCAAAACCAAATAAGTGAACATTAAAATAATAAACAAAAATCGTTAAGAAGAAAAAACACGCACAGACACATACATACAAATGTGTATATATGTATGTATAGACAAGTGTATACATTGGCAATAATTATGTATGTATTTAGTTACAGAGCCAAAGGCATGCATATATGTATGTATGTAGGTAGCACATACGTGTATACATGCTTATGAACACACACACACACACACACATACAACTCGTATAACATAAACATATACATAGTGATATATATAAATGTATGTATGTGTGTATGTTCATATATATACATATATAGAGTTTAACGACATTCGAATACACAAACAAAGCTAAAGCAACAGAAACGACAACAACAATAACAATAACAAACAGCAGCAACAAACAAGCAACAACAACAACTGCTACAAAATGCCAGTGAAAAAGCAAGGTAAGCTTATTTTCATGTTTACACACATTTTGATTTTTGTTTATCTATGCAACAAAATTTTCTAACATTTTGCGGCATATTCACTAATTGCACAAACTAAGTACATACTAAACGAGTCTACTTGCGAAAATAAACAGTCCTTAATGCTAAAACTAAAATAGTTCAAGAGTTAACATAATTGGGGCAACATGTGAGACTCTCCCAAATAGTTTAAAACTAAGAGGGTTTTTATGCTGTGCTTGAAACTTAGCTAGTTTGTGCAACTAAAGTGCATTTATTCGTTCAATTAGCAATTTTAGTTACTTGATTTAGGGGTTCGTAATAAGGAAAATGTTTGAAAAAAACATTTTAATAAGTGCACAAATTCCCTTTTTTAATCATTTTTAAACGTTAATAGTTTGCATTCACATAGACTTAGGATCTTAATAGTTAGTATAAATAAAGCATATAGATCTTAATAGTTAGTACCGTTCTAGGATTCAGATCTTAATAGTTGGTATAAGTAAAGATCTTAGATCTTAATAGTTCGCACTGGTATAGGACTTATTTATTAATAGTTAGTATTGAACTAAGACTGCTTGACTTCTTAAAATTGAGAATATTTTCAAAATTATGCGCAGTTCTTTCACCTTTCAAACTTCTATAGCTTTGGCAAACAACATAACACTATATACACATGGTTTATCCTTTTTGTCCTTTATCTATGGATCATGTTCAATATGGGAATAAATTTCTAACACATTCGTTTAAGCAACTAACCAGATTGTAAATAGCCTTTTTTCAAAATTTTCATGGTGAAGATTCCTTGAGAAGAATCGGAATAGTATATTGAATAGGAAGGGGGTCGATTGTGTTTCAATTAAGGCACATCAAATCTAGGATCGAACTTAATATTCCAAATATCTTATAAGAATATGTCAGCAAATCCCAATTAGCCAGCTTTTCTAGCTAAATATTGCTATTTACAGAGGAAAAAGCTAAAACTTTTGTAGAAAACCTTTTTTGATCGCATATGTTGCATCCAGTATTGTTATAGAAGAAGGAGCGAACCGGTTTTGAGCCGAAAAAGAAAGCGGAAACCGGCTTTAAGCCGAACCGTATCGAACCAGGCAACTAAATTTGTATATATAACACGAGCCAGACCTCAAATCGGTTTAGTTAGCTAAAGGACAGTCGAACCAAAACCTGTCGAAAAAGCAGGTTTGCAGGTTCCGAACCGTGAACCGAACCAAGCAACATCTTTGAGTTTTGTTTTTGCTGTCTTGATCTAAAATTATTTGACATTTTCACATGCATTATACGCTTGTCTATTGCACCAAAACAATAAATAGACATAAAAAAAAGAAAAGAAAAGACAAATTGAAGAAGAAGAAAATTAGAAACAAGCAAATGCTGCCAAACTTTTGAAATGAGCAATAAATGAAGGTCAACATAAGTATGTGACGTGTTTCCGAAGAAGCCAAAGATATATATGCACACACACACACACACATACGTATGCATGCATGTATGTCTCTGTGTGTGTGTGTGTATATATGCATATCAATTTGTTGGCAATATGCTCGCGGCCGGGCATTGGCCAACTTTATGGCAATGTCATCCAGGTTAGACTGTGCACTGACCCCAAAGACTCCGAGCCCGAAACTGTAATCAAAACTTATGCAAAGCCAGAAAGGTAAAGCATAAATAGTTGGGGCCTGTAAATGTTGGGCGTGAAGAAGGGGAAGGGCCAAGGGGGTTGGGCACGCTTGGGGTGGCAGCTAATTTTGCCTCTGTTCTGTTTTTTAAGTCAATCTTTATTGATTTATTGAACTAGAGGCCACACAGTACCTAGTCCCCAATGCGGATGGGTTATTATAAAGCAGTACGACGCGGTCTCCGCACAGAGCCAGTTGCTGCCGGTTGTAGTCTAGTGTGTAGTCTAGTGTAAATGGACTCGGACACGGATTCGGACCAGGAGAAGAGCAGCGATCCCAATGAGGAGCTGCTCAGCAGCGATGATAAAACCTTTCACGACGACGACGAGGTCGAGGACTCATCGGTGGAGGATGTTGACAACTTAGATACGGTCGATCCAATTAGGCAAATCGATGCAGAACAAGCGCAGTCCACGGCAGAGCAACTGCTGGTGGTGCTCATGCAAACAGAAGCCATACAAATGCAACAGCAGCAGCAAATCGATGTTGAACTGGATGCAAATGTGGCCAGCACAGCTCCAGAGCCGCAGCCGCAGGTTGCCAACGAAGTTGTCGGGGAGCCGGGCAACCAGCGCGTGCCGCTTGTGGCCAAGTGCCGCGAGAGCGTGCGCGAATCTGTCGAATGCTTTTACTCGGCACAGGATCTGCTCGAATATGGGCACATGCTGGCATCCACGGCGGAGCAGCGCACGCCGGACGTTGAGTCCGGCTATTTTGACAAGTCGGAGAGCGATGATCTTTCGCGCGAGGAGTTCGAGGTGCAATCGTGCAGCCTGCGCCGACCCAGAGGCGCACAGGCGCTGCCCCTCCTCTCCAGCCAAGCGCTGGCATCCACCGCCAGCAGCAGCTCGGAGAGTCTACGCATTGAGCTGAGCCGCTTTTGCAGCTCCATTGAGATATTCGAGCTGCAGCAGCAACAACAACAACAACAGCAGCAGCAGGAGATCTCACTGCCGGCAGAGGCGCCTGCAGCTGGAGAGGATTTGACAACGGGCGAACAATCCCTTTATACACAAAGTGAGACATATGTTATGCAGGTGTTTGGTCTAGGTAAATGTAATGATTGGCTAATCAGTTGTAGCAAGAAAGTTGGCCCCCGGACGGGTCCTTAAAACAGAGCCACAAAATATATTCAAACTCTTTTAAGTTATGGAAGATATGTAATATATTTTATGCCCGAGCGAGCAGGTGAATTGCTGAAAAGATTTGAAACAAGTAAATACTTGAAATTCGAAAAGACTTATGTAACTGTAATCCACCCATTTTCCAGCCTTGCAGGCGGAAATGTTCTGTCTACTGAATTTCATGGCAAAGTTGAACTACATTAAAGAGTCGGGTGCTCCTACTCTTATATATAACCGTCTATTTAGCTATATAGCAGGGCGGCAAATCCTAAATATTCTCGCTGGTTCGTTGCACGGCTTGAACCAGCGCGCTGGCTCGTGAACCCTGCTTAAAACAGCCTTGAACTCAGTTTTTTCATATTAAAACTAAATTCGAATTTCGGCCTAAAATCGGTTCGACTAACAGCCTAGGTAAACATATATTTAGATCGAGCATAAAAGATCCATTCGCCTTTAAGTATTTTCTTTAACTAGTTCATTTTTATTTATCTTATTTCTTTGCCTGAAACTCAATATCATACGTATATATGTATATTTTCTTTGCAGAAGCTCATCGAGCCCTTGAACTGCTCGAGGATTATCACGCACGTCTGTCGGAGCCACAGGATCGTGCTCTGCGTATTGCAATCGAACGGGTCATCCGCATTTTTAAGTCTCGCCTATTTCAAGCGCTACTCGGTGAGTATTCGTAACATATAGTTTGGCTAGGCTATATTTAAAAGTTCTTGATCGATTTATAATACGGCTTGCAGTTGTTCTTGGGTTTTTAGAAGTCAGAAATCAGTTACAATTCGGAAAGACTTAAGAATTAAGTATATTATATATCTAATCATGTGTTCTCGAGAATAAGATGTGTATATATCTTCTTTCAGCTCTTTTTTAGTGCTTAAACATGGTGTCAAGCGAAAACGTAAGAGTTTCTCCCGGTTTTTCATAATTTTCGTAATTCAACTGAAGGACATTCAGAAAGAAAAATAACTCGAAATTGGTCCAAAATTTGCCTTTAATATCGGGCCAGAGGCGATGAGTTCTATTTTTTAGAAAAACAACATGTAATTTTTCTAAAAAGTACAAAAATAATGACACAAAAGTAGGAAAACTTGTTTAAAAACAAAGAGAACTTTTTGAAATTCGGAAAACAATATCTTTTTTTTATATTTTATTTGCTAAAATAAAGGCAACATATATATTTATATATTTGGTTACCTAGTATTCCATGTATACCTAGTCACATTATGTTTCGAGAAATGCTATTGACTTTCTGAAAGCTCAAAAGTCCTCTAATATATATAACCTTAACTTGACGGTTCAGCTGAGATGACTTGAATGTGCTCGGGTTCTAGAAGATCTTGAACGTGTTGAAAAATATGCTTAGGTCGATAACATCATGTCTGTCGGCCTGGTATTCGGTTTCATCATATATCCACAGCTCTCCGGTTTTTGTGCTGAGTCAAGCAGCAGCAAAATGCGACGAGGACGGAAATCGTACAAATCCATAACTTGATATACATTACTCCAAGTTGCATAAACAAACGTCTCGTTAGGGCAGCTGTTGCTAATTCCATATATATATATATATGTGTTGGACCATGTAGCATGCATCCACATATACATATATATATATATATATATAAATATATATACATTCGTGTATATATGTATGCGGGCATTTTCCTTGCTATCCAGATTGTCTCGCTCGAGGGCAGGGTAGAGATATTGACGTGTGCAGGAAATTGAATTGACGCATTCAGCTTTACATTTAGGCCACTTGACTTTCGCCTTATTTATGAGCATGGGCCAGACCCAAATGCGAACACACACACACACACACATCACACACACCCCCAACTAACGCTTGACCTAAAAACTTTTCACTTGCCAACAAACTGACAGTCTTATTTCCAGTCAAGGCGTTATCCGAAACTCGCATTGAGCACAAGTTTGTGTGTATAACAAGTGTGCTCTGGACGGTAGTGCGTGACTAGGTGTTACCCTATACAGCCCCATGCACATAAACGCAACACACACACACACACACGCAGACTGCGTCTTCTATGGGACTTGCATTCTTGCATAATTCGGGTTTTATTGGTTCGATCGTTATAAAGTTTTCAGGGCTTTCTTATAATACCCAAATGTGTGTACATACTAAAGCACAAGGCTCTAGGCTGAGAAATTTTTCTTTTTTATATGGAGAGATCAGAAACTTACAAATAAAAAATGTAGCCTATGACATTGGATAGCAAATACATAAGGTATCTCTAGTTCTTTCAATTCCGATTTGTGTTTTAATATCTTAAAAATATTGTTTTAATTGTGGGAATATATAGCGACAGACAGGCATGGCTTCATCGCTCATCCTGATCATCCTGATTAAGAACATATATACTTAGGAGTTGCGTTTCTCTGGCCGTTACATACAGTTTCACAAAAAGATTCTGCCCCATTTTTTAAGCCATTTTTAATGGGTACAAGGTATAAAAATGAATGTTCTAAAGTGCCCTTGTGCCCCTGTTTTTTGAACCGCGTCTGCATTTAGGTTACCCATTCATAAGCAGGGATATGTAGGTAATGTTGGGTCAGCATTCGTGTCAAATCATGTCATCAGCCATAAAACTGAGGTGAGTTTTCTTCAATATCGTTAAGCTGTACAGAAATTGAAGTCAAAACGTTTCCTTATTTCAGAAGAAGACACCTAAGTGCATTGGCTTGTACCGATTGCGAATTATAAAGTGTTCTAATGATAATTATTTTGGTTAGAAACTAAGACCGACTTCTCTGTGAAAATTTGTACGACAATCAAGAGATAGTTTTAAGACTTTATGATATGAATTGCATAGATATTTAGAAAATAATAGATTGAAGATTATACGACCTTATGAAATATAAGAGAAGGTAGTAAAGAATTGAAAAGAAAATATCTACGACTTCTCAAGATGTCAACTCCAAGCCGAAAGTGTTTTCTTTTATGGCTATTACCACGTATTATAAAGTATATAATGTGCCCTAATTAATATATTTTATTTCATATTTCAGATATACAAGAATTCTATGAATTAACGTTATTGGATGACTCGAAGAGCATTCAGCAAAAGACCGCCGAAACATTGCAGATTGCAACCAAGTGGGAGAAGGATGGACAGGCCACAAAGATAGCCGATGTGAGTAGACTGCTTATATATAAATATATCTGTATATATATATGTCTATGTAATACATGTTCCGTGATTAGATGAATAGATGAATATACTTTGTAGCGGACAACCTCGTAGCTGTTCAAATGAATATCTCGTAGAGTATGGAGCTGAAAAGTTATATCATAAATATATCGAAATGATATAGAATAATATCAAAAGATATTAGAGTAGTTCATGATTTGATTTTCCAGCTCAAAATTGTATTTAGTTATTTGTTAGTTTTTCGAATAAACGTACTTATTAATGTTGGCTCATGTTTAGTTAAAACTAACCCGAGATGATCCAATCGTAAAGTTTTCGATTTCATTTTGGACGCATTATCAAATCATTAAATCATTAACAATCGTGCAAGTCTACATAATTATGGTATATAAGTGTATATAGTGTCGATCTACGTCAACTGTAACATCTGGAACTCTATCTCATGTTGCTCTCTCTATCTCTCTCTCTCTCTCTCTCACTCTCTTATTTTCTCTCTCTGTCGTATGTCTTTAATCTTAACCTACTGTGCAGTTTATAAAAACTACCAATCTTAATCGCAATGGCGTCTATGAAATTAACAACGATGCCACAAATCCCAATCCAAGTTCAAATCTTAATCAAAACGCGAACGCGGCCGCGCACGCCGAGGCCTTGAGCAGAACATTTAAAAATGAATTGGAAGAGATTTTGGTAAGCACATTAATTCATCCATTTCCGTATCATAACCATACTACAATTATCAATATAACCATATAAATAATTATCTATCTAAGGGTCTCTGGCTACCAGGCAATGTATAACTCGCAAGACATATTTTATGAAAATCTATATAATTATTTTCGATTTGTATATCTTTTTTTACTTGACAAGATTAAGACAAGATAGTCTAGTTTTGGACTACGATCACAAGCTGTCCTAGGTATATATATTTGATAGGTATATATACATATATATCGGTACTAGCAAAAGCTCGGATCATTATGTCTTTATGTAATCGGTTGTAAATTTAATCGGAGAAGGTTTTCTTTTTGGGTTCAATTGATTTTCAATTTTATTTATCGTGCCAATTCAGAATATTTTTTCGTTTCGGTTCGAACCGGTTTGCCGTTTGGTTCGTAATCCTGGTTTTCCATGAACCATATCTCCAGGCTTTAGTTCCAATCTTAGCTTATCATATTTCATATATATCTATTTCGTATAAATATATATCATTTACATATTTATTTACATTTGCCCCCTTTCTACTGAAAATATTGTTTGTCATATATATTTTCACATAGAAGTCACGGGCTAAATTTGATCTCTGCCCAAAATTGGCATCTACGAAATGTTGTTAGATGAACCCAATGAATGGGGCTTAAGTTATTTTTGGGGCTAATTCTCCGTCAAAAGTTTTAACCATCTTTGAAAAGAATTGTGTTTAGTTCGGGTTTCGGTTCTTATTAAAAAATCAAATGAAATTCCGAGTTTGAACCGGCTTACTTATTTATCGATAACAACTATATATGTGTCTATATCCCTTCTGCCTATATATACTCTATTTATTTTAAAGCTAATTAGCCTGATCAGAAAGTCTGATATCTTTGCAATAATTAATTAACTATGCCAAATATATATGTGCTGCATTTTCCTATTGAGCTATATATATTATGGTATTGCTATCGATCTATCTAACTATATCTATTCAAACATGACTTATTTAAAAAATCAAGCTGTAAAAAGGCTATGAAATCGTGCAGTTATCATTCATAATTATAACTAACATGGGAATCAAACTAGAATTTTGGGTGTTAATAATATATGTATCTGATGCGTGTAAATCGATTAAAGAGATTAGCAAAGTAATCAACGGGATTTGCTTAAGCTCTGCACGTGTAGTCGTCAAATTGATTGACCGATTGATTGATTGTGAGACTGATCTGGGCGGGTGTTGATGGTAATAAATATGCATATAAATATGAACAGTTAATCGACATTAAAAGAACGGTTTTTATGTACACCCAATTATATGTTTTTGCGAGTTGTTTGCGTGCGCGCAAGAGCGTAAAGTGGAAATCAGTATGCTGTTTGCATGCGAAGCAAGGCAAAGCAAAGCAAAGTTTTTGCTCAGGAAGTGCTCAACTAGAAAAGTGTCAAAACGTTTGAGGCGGGTCAATTTCACAGGTTTTTACTGTAATACAAGCCTTGATTGCTTTTCTCGCCTTCTTTTATCGCTACCTCCCGCTGTCTTCCTCCCTCCTCCCTCTCTCTCTCGTTCTCGCTCTATTCCTCTATTCACGCTGTTTGTGTGGGTCTGTGTGTAGCCAAGCAACCGTTGGGCTTACATACACACACACCCACACACACATACACTTACACAGAAACGCTTTTAAATTTGATAAGGACTTAACTGTTAGCGTCGTCTGTTTTGTATTTGCAACATGATTTGTGTTGACCCAGTCAGGGGCAGAATAACGGGAACATGTTCTTGTACAAGCTCGACGAGGGCGGAGGGAGTGGGGGGGGGGGGGCGTCACGCTTTTTAATCGGCCGCCCGCTCGTGCTTGTGCTCCTGCCTCGGGGTCGAGTCGCAACCGTTCGTCTGTTCGTCGTTTTGTCCTGCGCCGACGCCGGTATTTTGTTATTGTAGAGGCGATATCCAGGCTAAAGTACGTATAGCTGTTGACATGCGTAGTACGTTAACGTAAAACGTAAAACGTCAACGTATGTCTGTCATACGTATCCGTAAGCCTATGTGTGTGAATGTGTGTGAGTGTGTGTGTGTGTACATACATATGCTTACTTGTTACTGTGCATGCAAATGTAGCGACAGCTTTTGGTGATTTTCTTTTGACCAGATTGCACACTGATAACCGATAAGGATGTGGGTGTGTGTATGGAGAGGCGGTGTTGGGGTATGAGATGCATTTTCAAGGATATACTTGTGCACAAAATGCAATATCATCAATTGTTCAATAGCCGTGCCTAACGATTTAACTAGCGCAAGGCGGCTCAGTGCCCAAACGCCCAATACAGACCTTTTCTCCCTGCCCGCCCCTTTTAAAGCCCACTAACGATGCCTTTGACTATTAAGGTTGTTGTTGCTGTTATTGCTGTTGGCGCTGCTGCTGTTGGCGCTGGCGTTAGCGCTTCGTGCGTCGCGCGTGGCAGTAACAGCAGCGCCGTCGACGTGTCGAGTCGCACAACTTTCGCGTATCCGTCAACTGTCTCCGTCTCCGCCTCCGTCTCCGTCTCTGTCTCTGTCTCCATTCCCATCGTCTTAGTGCGCGCTGTCGTTAGCCATCGTGTGCAAATTGCCCGGCATTTCAAAATTGTTTGGATTCGACTTTTAAGCACTTTTTGCTCGTGGCTCTTCAAATTGATTGTGTGTGGCACAAATTATGCAAATCTTCACTAATTATCCTATCAATAGGATTTCTCTTGAAAAATTTTACCATAATTTGCTAGCAAATTAAAAAGATCCTAAGAAATACCAGGTCAAATATGTGCATATGCAGTTCAGATATTTCACATACACAATTATTGAACACTAAAAATTCAGTTACAGAATTGGCACAACGCTGATTTTAAATTATCCAGCCAAACACACACACACACATGCTCCTACACGTACTTAGTATACGCATATGGCGAACAGCTGTTAAACATCAATGTTATACATACACACAACACAAATACAATTTCTGCTGGCGCTGCTAATTACAACATGTTGCTATCTCTTTCTAACGCTTCTCAGTTTCCGCTGCAAAAACTTGCAAGCGTCATCCTCAGCGTAGATGCTGGCAAATGTTGAGTGTTGCCACAGTTTCCAAAGGGTTTAAATTCTGCGCTGATCTCAACGCAAAACTGTTTTACCTGTAAGATATATACAGCAGTGCTTATATACATATACATAGTTGTGTATATGCATAGTTGTTTATGTATGTATGTATTGTATTTACTGTATATTACGTATACGCTTTGGCAATGTTTTTACAAAATATTTCGATGTCTTTACTTGTAGACAGACAACTGTACATACACATTGACATACATACATACATACATGTTTATGTATGTATGTAGGTATGTAGCATATTAACTCACTCGGCTTTGGGCTTTTCATTCAGCTTTTCTTCGTTGGCATTGGGCAACTTATTAAAGCAACAAAAAAAATATATATATATATCTATATATGTATTCATGTATGTGCATATATATATATATATCTATATATGTATTCATGTATGTGCATATATATATAAATGTATTATTATTTTGTTTTTTGTTTTGGCAGCTTGCTTCACAGCCGCCCGTCGTCGCTGCCGCCTTTTGTTGTTTCTTGCCAGTTTTTCGCGCACATTCGATTGAAGCGCTAAGAAACGCGGCTTTTTCTTTTGTGATTTCTCAAATTTACTGGTTTTTTATGATAACATACATTTATGTACATTGTGCGTTGGGGATTTATGGGGCTCAGATCAGTCACGCAAAATACAGCTTAACTTTATAGCGAATGCATAAAAAGTTGTTTAATTCTTTTTATAAGGATTACAAACTGTAGACGAATTCTCGGTGTACCCAACATGCATTTTGCATAGATACATAAAAAGTGCGATATCATGATACAAATATATATATGTACATACATGTGTGGGTGCGCATTTTATGTACAGGAAATAAGGTCCACCCCAGAAAAAAAGACACATACTCACACACTCCATGTCGTTCGAATATGTACAGTAGGCATGACATTAATTCTCTTCAAATTACAAACAATAATTCTTCAAATATGTAAAAATGGAGTTTTGTTAAGTACCTTCAATTCTTTCAGAAAAACTTCAAAATTGTTGGCTAATTAATATAACTGTACTTAAACAAATGACGATGGGTGTAGCTAATACATACATACATATGACTGTATTTAGTTGCCAGATTTTCATTTAATGTTTTCTGGTCTGCTCGACATGTGAACTTTTAGTCTACTGCAAAAACATACAAACATATTTATTCGCGTGTGTGTGTGTGTGTGTGTGTGTGTGTGTGTGCGTGCGTGTGTGTAGGCAAATAGGTAAAAATATTCAGCGTACGTAACATCAAAAATGTAAGCAAGAAAATGAGCTAAAAGCGGCGTTAAGGGCACAAATACATATAGACAAGTGGATTCACTGTAAAGACATACATATGTATAAATAAACTGTATGTAGTATGTACACATTTACTCGAGTTTCTTTTATGCTCTCACACACACACACACGCACACATTCAAACAGCAGCTTCCGGCTGAGGGTAGGCGAAAAAGGAAGTTTGGCTTGGGGTGGGGGGTTGGAGCGTGTACACACACACATACACACACACGCCCACACACAACTTGTTGCTTCCTTTTCAATAACTGTGTTTTACAATGTGTACTTAGGCAAAGAAAAATAAGAAACAAAAAACCAACACGCTAAAAATACACAACTAACTTTGTTCCCGCTGTGTGTGTGTGTGCCTGTGCATGTGTTGGTTTCATTGTAAATGCAACGCTGTGGGAAATTTTTAAAGCCCAAACAAATTAAAATACTTTTCACAACATGATCGATTGGGTATCGATAGTGCGGCATTCGCGACGTCGTTTCTCCAATTATGTCGGCTCGCGGTCGCCGGTCCGAATGCGTCGACGTCGACGACAGTTGACTGCGCCGCCGCCGCCATCACAGCAACAGCAGCAACATCAGCAACAGCAGCAACAACAGCAGCAGCAAGAGCATAAATCTCGCCTGCAGGAGAAGAAAGCTAGGGAACTGCAGGAAGCCGATGGCGATGGCGACGGCGATGGTGGCAGCAGCATTTCCGGTCGTTATGTCTGCTGTTGTTCCAATGTAAGGAATCTAACAGCATGTTATTTTTACATAAGTCTTGTTGGAATTAAACGCGAATTGGTTAGCAGAGGATAAACAGGCTGGCAACGGCTGGCTGTTAAATCATTTGAATCAAATCAAGTGAATGTTATTGTTTTGTGTATCGATCATTTCAAAGCTTATTGCCTTAAGATCAATTCAAGTTAGTAAAAGGACAAACTAAATAAAAAATGATGATGCAGAATGTTTCAGCATAAAAACTTAGAAATCCTAGTATCCCAATAATAATCCCAATATGGCAGGTAGATGAATAAAATTATACTGTAAAGTTTGATTGAAATCACAGTTAAAGACAGTCTTCCAATAACCGAAAAGATCTATATGAATTGTTAAACTACACTTGGCACAGCATTCGTCGTTTGCTTGTTGTGATATATAAAAGCAAATGTCATTTTGGCATTTCGGCTAAAAGTGTGTCTAGTTGTCAAATTTTAATGCACTATTTTCATTATATACGTTTCTTTCGCAGAACCAACGCATGCGCATTGAGTCTGACTATGAGATTGCCAAAGATGCCACAGCCGATGATGCCGCAATTCAACAGGTGCGCAACTTGCGCTCGCCCCAGCAGCAGCAGCAGCAACAGGTGGTTCAACAGTTGCAGCAACATCAACAGCAGCAGCAGCAACAGCAGCAGCAGCAGCATCTAACGCAATCACAGTCCACGACAGCCAGAAGCGGGACTCAGATAGTAAGTGGCTGCAATTAAATGAATTATGTTTGCTCTTTGCCAAAGCTAAAGCTAAATCATGTCTCACTAATACTCGAAACGGGGGATAATTTGGAAAAATGAGGCGTATTCAAAGGCACGCATGATTAGCCGCAGCCAAAGCCACAACAACTGCCAACAGCCAATGGCCCAAACTACCCAACATTCCTTTGCCTTTGAGTCGACCTGAAAAACCAAAAAAAAAAAAATACAAAAAACAAAATGAACAACAACCAAAAATAATAACAACAATAATAATAATCATAATAAAAAGCCAGACGTGCCTTAAAGACCGGAAGGCCGTAATCGCACCAAATTTTTTTGGCCATAGTTAATTTAGCTTAACTTGGCGCTTCATTTGAAATGGAATGGCCGCCAATGCTGCTTGTTTCCGCTTCCGCTCAAACTGTTGTTGTGACACAGCTTACACAGTATTTGCTATTTTGAGGCACTGTCCACTTTATCTGAACCCTAACCAGTGTTTTCTTACCAGTTAATGTTCATCATGTTTACCATTTTTGCCACTGTTCTCCAAACCCATCGTTAATCGTTATTCAAATGAATCATTAAGTTAACTAAATATCATCCTAAATAAATGTATAATATATGTATGTATGCTATGGATATATACCATTACATATTTTTTACTTTTATTTATTGTTTTTGTTTTTTCCTTTGTTCACATTTAATATTGATATCATCTATAATTTGGGCATGTCTATGTTATTATATTGTATTATTATAAGATATGTACTTATGTATTTAATAAGACATTAAAAACGACATTGAATCAATTTTTCTAATGCATAGTTTTTATTCCAATTGTTTGATTTGCCACTTTTTATGGTTTGTATAATTATTGTCACTACTACTGCTGGCCTTTTCATTTAGTATTTACATACGTTAGAGGGTTATCTATGTATGACTCTTTACCATTTTACCTTAATTATGGAGAAAAAGATGATAAACTTAAAGTATACCCTTTAAAATATATGAGTTTTCTCAATTATCTAATGATCAAAATTTGCTAATGATATTGTTTTTGTCACTTACATTTATTTAATGCACTTAACTTGATATGTAAAATACATGTAGTTCAATTGTTTACCCATATATGTAGTTCATGTTGGGATTTAATTTCCCATTAGTCTGTTTTGCACAATATTCATTTGAGTTTTAAGAGTTTGGCGCCAAGCTGCAATCAACTCTTATCTACGCTTGCGAAGTATTAACCAACATTGGTCGCCGCGATCGATGGTATCGATAGGCAGGCTTTAAGCTATCGATCTCTAGTCACGCCTCTAGCAAACCAAGCGCAAGCGTCACTCCCTTTATGAAAATGTAAAAAGTAAACACGGCGTTGCTTAATAGTCGTGCGTGTAAATGTGCAATCGTACGTAATCATAAATCGTTGTAATCGTGCATTGGTGACGGCAGCGCCGATTGTATAGTGTAAAGAAGTTTGAGGCGCTGTAAACTTCAACAGTACGGTGTTGCCAGCTAAGACCGTTGAACTATCAGCGCTAATATAACCGGTTACGCATACCAAAACATCGCGACGATAGTTTGTTAGCATGCTAGAGGTGGCCGGTTGTGTGGGCTCGGCAACAATCGAACGCTCGTGCAGCTCTAGTCAGTCGCTGGCTCGCTAGAAAAATGCCAACAACACAACACGGGAAAAGAAGCAGGCATCGCATAATTGCGGCGTAAACGCATTAAAAATATAAAAACGGTCTGTGAAAATCTACGCCACAAAGCCTATTTCCAAAATCAATGCGAAAGGCGAATGGAAATGTGCGTGTTTCATATAGAAATGTGCTTGAAAGTGACCTGACAAATACCAGAAACAAAAGCGATACGCTGTGCATGAAATATTAATGCCCTTACATACATACATACATACGTACAACAAATCAAAACAAAGTGTAATCAGTAATACTTAGTTATAATGAATGAAGTTAGAAGAAAATAATGTTTTAAAATTGTGCCTTTAGCTTGCGCTACTTTTTTTTACATTCGTCAGAATCGCATACATATACGCTCACACACACACATGCATGCACATACGTACTTACTTATGTATGTAGGTTATACACATGCACGGCATAGCGCAAAAAAATACCAAAATAGTCGGCGGTTGACACTGAGAGAGTGAGAGCGTCGCGGTTGTTGTTTTTTTTTTTTTTTCGTTTGCCATTTGCTCTGGCAAACAATAAATAAATATGTATGTATGTGATTTGGAAAGCATAACTTATACGTGAATATATATTTGTGTGCGATTAGAAGATTCTCTCACGCTCAGCAACAGAAACAGCGCCCAGCAAGTTTTTAGCGATAGTTGTAGTTCGAACTCGCTCACGTTGGCAACGCGCCGTTCCTCAGTGTTGTGCTTACATATTTATTAGTTGTTATTATTTATTTTTTTAAAATTATTTTTTGCGTTTTGTGTGGATGACACTTGTTAGTGTCAGCGCGCATTGTGAGTCACGCGGCGAGAGTGCAAGTAACATACATATATGAATGTATGTGTGGGTGTGTGTACGTGTGTATGTTTATACTCCATATTAAACGCAAAGCTAAAGGGAAATTTATAACATTTTGTTTGCTTAGCACGTAGTGAACGAACGAAACGTTGCAACGTAACAACAATTAACGTAAACGTTTACGCGACTGCGACGTCACTCAACCGGCATTTGTGATTGTGTTACGTTACGTGCAACGTTCATCGCTTTGTGAGAGAGAGAGCGAGCGAGCGAGCGAACGCGTTGTGATAATAATATGACCACACGCAAAAAGAAGCGTCAGGATGGCAGCAGCAGCGGCGGCGGCGGCTTCATTAAGAAAGTTTCATCACTATTTAACTTGGATTCGGTAAAGAAAAAGTGCTCACCTATTAAACTTACAAAAACTAAGTATTTGCATGCGATTACAAATGTATCGAAATAGAATAAATTGAAAACGATTAATCAAGCATTATATCGATCTCGTTGGAGAGTACTTTCCTCCACCGATTTAAGCAATATTCGTTTTGCGCCGGAAGCTAACAAAGATTTCGTCTGTTTTTCTATAAATGCCCAACGATGATTCCATGGTTTATTTTTAAATTTCGCCAGACATTTAGACATCATAAAAAGCATAACAACGGCAGCAGCAAGAAAATTCTCTAGTCTCAATGCGTGTTTGTCCTCAATTGTATGTCAAATTTCAGTGTATAAACTTCAACAATTGTCTTTACGCATGCGCAACGGAATTTCTCCCAGTCACACACACACATACCTATACATATATGTATGCGATTAAATATGTGTATGTGCCTAAGTAAGCAAGGCAGTAAATGGGCGTGCATTGTAGAATTTGCAAAATTGACAGCTGCATCTCTGTCTCTCTCCCTTTCTGTCTCTCTTGAATGCCGCCACGCATAATGTCACCTACTTAAATGTGCATGTATCTGTATACACATATGCATGTGCGTGTATGTAAACAGGGCTCTTTTCTGATGCTGACGTTCCTTCACTCATCTAGTCTCTCTTACTTACTCTGTCCCTCTTACTCTCACTCTCCCGCTCACTCGAACTCTCGCTAGATCGCATAATATGCTCGAAATAGAAGTCACTCGTCTTCACATTTAACCGCTGCCTTGAGCACCACCCAAATGCAAACAACAAATTCAAAAGCTCCATTGGCTCTTCTAACGGTGTTTGCTTGAATAAACATTCGTATTTAACAACAGTGTGCGTTCGATATAACGAATGTTTCTACTAAGAAAAAATATAAATATATATACATATATATATATATTTATATTTTCGGTGGCGAATAGAATATGCATATTGTATCCATATCGAAATGGGATATTATGTAGCGATATGAAAAAGTTTTAACATATGTTGCACATATATGTATATAATTGTATATCAGAATGTCCAAATCCATAAACAAAATACAAACTGAAAACTTATTGACTGCTAATTCTTGAATCAAGGCACGTCTTCAAATTTGTATACAATTTGGATTTATTGCGGCCTTTTGTGGTTGCCAGACTGGAGGACAACAATGTTGATATTGAACCACATTGGGGGCATATGCCTCCCATTTGACTCAGGTTCGGGTGGGTGTGCATTGTGCAGGTGTCGATTTATTTAGACACTCGTCTGTACGTATATATATATATATATACATTCATACACAATCGGCATTGTTGACATTGCCTACATATATGTATGTGTGTATGTAAGCGCATGCAGTTGGCTCAGCGTCAAATCGTCACAGGTTCCAATCAGACAAAGAGTGCGAGCGAGAGAGCGCAGGGCGGTGATGAGGGTGAAAGAGAGAATAGTACGTATTATCCACACCCAAACATTTCGTACTCATTCACATTTGGTGGCAATTTGCCGAGCCATATTTGGTGCCTATGTATATATACATAACATATGTATGAGTATGTATGTCTGTATGTACATGGCTGCATACGTGTACACCGGTGATCACAATAATATAAGCGGCAAAATGCAATTTCAAATATGCATATATATATTTGCATATATTTAAAATTAATTATATATGTAATGTGCATTCGAGATTAGGCAATATATGCTTAATATTGAAAAGTCAAAATGAAAAATAATTAATGTTATTCCATAATTCATAAAAAAAAAACAAATATGAGTTTTGTTATTCTATTCTAGGCTTTATATACTAGCTCAAAGCTACCTTACTTGAATCGAATGTTTTCAGAATCAGAGATTGCCAATGTGTTTTAGTAGATTGCTACAGTCATGACTTTTTCATAGCTGTTCAAAGCAGCATTCAATTTTTACTTATTTAGAATATTCCATTGTAAGGTTCTCCAACACTGGGCATCAATTAATTAAATATTGTATATAAACTTACAAAACATATTTCCTACAAAGCACTTCAAATTTTACTGCTCGTCTCAAGTGTAACTATTGTTTTGTTGATGTGTGTATGTTTACTCATGCTACTTTAGCAAGTGGCTGCCTTGTATCTTTTGCTAAATAAAGAAACGGTAATTGCCACATTCTGGAACTGGAACTGGTGCGCGCATTGCCTGTGTGTGCGTCTGTGTGCCTGTGTGTGGTAAACCCAACCCCAAACCCAAACCAAAGCATAGCCGCAAAGCATATGATTCTCGCTGATAAGATAAGTTTGGCAGCTGATATGAATAGTATGTTGCCCATAATATACATATATACTTCTGTTCCTATTTATGTAGACAGTGCTGTTGCCCAACACTAAAACACGAGAAAACTAAACCACAACAGTTGGAAATACCTTTGCGGTTGTTGTAGTTGTTGTTTGGGCATTGTTATTAACTAACCAAAGCGACCTTCGATGAAACGCCTTTAAAATGTTCCAATTGCGGACCTCTGATGTAATTGCTTACATAAGACTCATCGGTTCAATATTGGTCGCTAGCTTTTGCCTTTAGAATGTCAACTTAATTAAGTTAATCAAATTCATTAGCCCCTTCTGAATCTAATCAGTTGCGATTGTTTTGGGTCAGGTAATAGGAACTCTTTTTGCCATTGATCAGTTCTGAGCGCCGCATGTCAAATACTTAACATTGAGTTTAACTCCTAGAAAAAAAGCAAATAGACCATAATTTTTGCAAGCATGAAAAGAAAACACATTATGTCATGTTGTGCCTGCTAAAGTGTCTGGCAGATCAGCTTACAAGAAGCATGAAAAAATGTAATTGTAAGCTTCAGATATACCTTAATAGGAACATAGAAAAGCTGCCAATGAATATAGAACGATCAGATGATCGGATCAGGAACATAAAACAACGGCAAGCCCATTAAAAATATTAAACTGCATGCTAAAGTTTGACTGGCAGATAAATAAGTTAACGAGAGCGTGAGAAAATGTAATTGGGCCAAAAACAACGGGTTAACTTTGACAACAAAACAGAAAGAAAAACGCAGCAACAATGCATGTCAAATATTTGTCGGGCGGATAAACTGTCTAATAAATGAAATGAAAGCTTCCGTTTTCGAATAGGGGGTTGCAGACAGCTTTGCAATGCATGTGTCTCATTTGGATGTAACACGAGATGTGTCGTTATAGCTCATAAAGCACACACACAAACACACACACACACACACTAACACCGACAGAGACCTGACCTACCGCTCTTGTTAACATGCCTGATTAGAGCATCGCAGGGGGCGGGGAGGGCAATTTGCTCCAATTTGAAGCTGAGCTGTGCGAATTACTCACGTCACGTAGCCAGGCAAACAGTTGACGTGCTGACCCGGCAAATGTCAAAGGTTAATAAGCAATTCGAATGCCGCGGCATCGCACGTGAGCAGCTTTGCATTCGAGCTGCAATTCTCTGTTTGTTTTTTCTCCTCTTCTTCTTGTTGCTACTGCGGGATATACATAAATACTTGCCGCCAGCTTAATGAATCCATTTACACCCAGTTGCTAATCAATTGAACTCGTTTTTCACGCGTGTGTGTGTGTGTGTGCGTGTGTGTATTGTCATGTTTGTCTAAATGTTGCAATTTTCACTTATTCGAAAGTTGTAATTTATTTATGTAACTCGGCATTCCATCGATGGGGCTTTATATGCGCATCTTGCGCCTGTCACAAACAGACGTTTCTTTAGTTTGATTTTGGGTGCGGCAGTTAATTTACGTGCATATAAACATATATCGTATTGATAGTCATTTCTTTTTTATTTTCCCAAAATCATTTTTATCTATATATTCATACATATTTATACATATCTATATATATAAATATTTTTAGATACATTATATAAAACACGGCAAGCTAAATTTCCTGGATTTTAAAGAAGTTTTTCTGTTCGGTCGAAAGATTTTGGAAGACTCGACCTGGGAGTGGGGGAAAAGGTTGTTCAACGTTTGTATAAGCAGACTTAAAAGTAAGAGGTCGCGGTTCAAATCCTCAATTGTATAGTTGCCTATTTCAGTTGTCAATTTACACAAAAAACAAACCTATAATATTCCATTAATATGAAAGTAAAAAGCAAAATAAATGACAAATCGATTTGGTTTAACAATAATAATTAAAATCTAAAGAGGAGTGGTCTGTCTGAAGAACAGGCTTTCATTTGCTAGCATTAAATTTGCGCCGCTCAATGCCGGGTAATTTCTTTTAGTTTCAATTATATTGCAGATAACAACATGTGGCCGATAACCCTTTCAATTCTATTTGCGCTTTTTTATTTAGTTGCACTTGAAACTAAAGTCCAGGTTGCAATTCTGTATTTCAATGGGGCTCAAGTTTTCCATATGCTTTCTTTGGCTACCTGACTATTGTTCCGAAGGAATATCTCATGATAAGATCTATAATTGTTTTGCATTTTTGTGATTCACAAATTTAGAAGAGTTTTACTTAAACCATAAAAGTAACTAAAGTTGTGTTCTTCAAGCGATTTTAAAGTTAAAGAATGTTATTTCTTATATGTATCATAAAAGTAACTAAAATTGTGCTGTATGCAAGAGTATCAAAATGTCCCGTCTTCAGTTCGTTGATACACATATTTATAGCATTATTAATTTCCATAGTTTTACATTTTAAGATATACTTACAGGGTATTATACTTCTGTCACATCCGACCACTTAATATATATATTTTCGATCCGTATCGGCAGCCGAGTCCGTCTGGCCAACTCCCTGCCTTTAGACTCGGCTTCTGAAGCTCGGCTTACGCCCGTTAGAATTATTCTTGAAAACAAAGTCGTATTATCTTATATCCAAAATTTATAAATCCGAGCGAGAGATGAATGTAAATTCAGATTTAAAAAAAAAAAAAAATAAAACACTTAAAAATAACTTACTTAAAATATATACACCAAAATTTAATATATTCCTTAAACATATTTGTAAATTGATAAAAAATGCAGCAGCAACAATTATTAAAAAGTTTTCAAGCTTCTTGAAGTTGAAGCGTTGTAGAACTTAGACACTAATGATAAAGTTTAAAGAAAAAATTGAAAACCAACTATGATTTATCTCACGATTTTAAGTTTTCTCTCGGTCCAACAATTTTCAGCTACACAAGGCATCCTCGACGAAGGTAAGCGGCGCCCAAAGAAGGCAGCTCAGTGTTTGTCAGTGTTTGTCATTTAATAATAAAATGAATATAAGCAAAAGAAATTAAAAATCAAAAGCAATAAGAGCTGCTTTATCTGTATTCGTATACGTCCTGTCTTAATCGCATTTGTGTTTTGTCAACATCCGGTGCGGAAATGCAAGTGCACGCACATCTATAAAACTGTCGCTATCATCTACTTATCAAGCACAAGTCGTTAATTGTACTAGCAATAATTATAAATTATGCATGCGAAGCAAAATCCATAGTGATAATATATATATTATAAATTGATTGTTGCTCATCATTGGCTCCCGCAGCTTGTGTGTGTATGTGTGTGTGTGCGTCCTTTCATCGTTGCCAAATGCAAATCCTAACAACTTGTCCATTGATTGCCACATATCAGGCTGTTGCTAATGCATCCAACAACCTTCGTTAATCTCCATCCGCAGGTGAATGGCGACGATAGCTGGTATTATGAGGACATACAGCTGGAGCGTGGCAATTCCGGCTTGGGCTTCTCGATTGCCGGCGGCACTGACAATCCCCATATTGGCACCGACACATCGATATACATCACAAAGCTGATACCGGGCGGTGCCGCAGCTGCCGATGGACGTCTGAGCATTAACGACATCATCGTATCGGTCAACGATGTCTCCGTTGTGGATGTGCCGCATGCCTCCGCTGTGGATGCTCTCAAGAAGGCCGGCAACATTGTTAAGCTGCATGTGAAACGGAAACGTGTCGCAAGTGCAACAGCTGCCGCACCGACAACAGCCGATGTCCCAGACAGCGTCAGCGGTACGGCGATCTCCGCTTCGGCCTCGGCGTCGGCACCGGCGGGACCAAAGGTGATCGAAATTGATTTGGTCAAGGGCGGCAAAGGTCTGGGCTTCTCAATTGCCGGCGGCATTGGCAATCAGCATATACCGGGCGACAATGGCATCTATGTGACCAAGCTCATGGATGGCGGTGCGGCCCAAGTGGACGGGCGCCTCTCCATTGGCGACAAGCTAATCGCGGTTCGCACTAATGGCGTAAGCATAAGCATCATATACTTATTAAACTATAACAAATAAACCTCTCCCACTCACTTACAGAGCGAAAAGAATTTGGAGAATGTCACGCATGAATTGGCTGTGGGCACACTCAAGTCCATCACCGATAAGGTGACACTGATTGTTGGCAAAACGCAGCATTTAACGAGCAGTGCCTCACAGTCGGGCAGTGCACAGCTTGGCCAGCAGTCGCAGGCGCATTCACAGTCGCAAACCCAATTGGCAGCTGCCCCACGGCAACAGCAGCAGCAGCAGCCAGTTAATTCGGAATCTGCAGGTGCGCTTAACAATGTTGGGCAGTCAGTTGTTGATTCAGTCACAGATTCAGTCATCACCAACTCCACTATCACCACAACCACAACCACTTCCAATACCAACAACATCACCACCGCCACCAACACGACCAACACCTCCACATCCAATACTAGCTACGGCACCAATTTAGGCTCAAACAGCAGCCATATAGTGCAGCATAATATTGCCACAGTCAGCAGCAGCAGCACCAGCAGCAACAACAACAATCTTAACAACAACAACAACATTAACAGCAGCAACAGCAGCAGCAGCAACAACAACAGCAGCAACAGCAGCAGCAACAACAGCAAAAGCAACAGCAACTACAATAACAACAGCAACTTAGTAGCAGCTAACGCTAAAGACACAGCTACAGCAGCTGCAGCTGCAGCCACAACACAACCACCCGCCTCCGCCTCCGCCTCAGCCTCTGCCTCTGCCTCAGCCTCAGCTTTAGCTTTTAATGCTAAGCTAGCAATGCCACTGGCTGCTGCTGGCGGCACAGAGCACAGCCGTTCCCAATCACCCTTGCCAAGGCGTAAGCGAATCATATTTGAACTTCAACTATTCACAACTCGATATTAACATTCTCTCTACATTTCAAATAAGAGCCACACATTCAGCAGCTAAAAGTCCTTTTACATCTATAAAACTAGCCTCATTCTAAACACGAAACAACATTGTCTATATGTAAACATATAAGTCTGGATGTACTATATGCATGTGCATATCTGATAGATACTCATTTAGGTTGGCTAAAAAAAAAAACAAAACAAACAAACAGGCGTGTTTAAGGCAATTCCTGAATTTAGACTGGGCTCTCTACTAACTGCTAATCTATTGTCGCTATATTTTATGCTCTCTATCTAACACCTATATATACATATATATATATATATATATATATATACATACATTTCTGTCTATCTTAGTCGTGATTGAATTTAAACTTCGAACCATTCGGGAGAGTTTCTGCAATCTCTACAGATTTTGCACGGCTTTTGCTTGCGTGCTTGCTAAGCTGCTCGTATTTCAGTGTTGTTTGTTATCCACCAACCATTTTGAAACACTGGTCAACAGTGTTGTTCATTCAATTCAGTACGAAACATTTGACCGACTGCAAATGTACCTTAACTTAACATGACATCTTCTATAATGCATGCATAACTATTTATTATATTTGAACCTTGTCTTGTCTTTTGTGCTTATTATAAGATCATCTATATCTATATTTTAATACATCTATATTTATATATGTATATGTGTCTTGATGTGTCTACATACGTACATATGTATATACATATTGAGGCGGGAAAGCAAACGAACACTATTCACGATTCTTTTGTTTTTTCTTATTTCACTTCTCTTTTTTCTTAATTCATTCAATGTCTGTTAGCTATATCTTTCTTATTCATATATAAAGCGCGCCTTTGTCATTCCGATTTTAACAATTTCTACAAAATAATTATTGTACTTTTTCATGTATTTTGACTTTAAGCGCTGCCAAGAACTTTATAATTCATATAAATTCTTCTTCTACAGACAGCGGCATTCAAATAAAAAAACTGGGATTATAGTTTAGCAAAATGTTTCGTATGTCAGCTAATTTCTTTCCTTATAACCCTAAATTATTGAATTTTTGTTTAATGTGCCATAAAAACTGATCCACAGTTATAAAGTAAGGTTCACAGAAATATTCAGTTAAAAATCCCAATTTCTACAGTTATTTTCAAGGCAATTCTCTCTTATTTCCTGTGTTGAAAGATTTCCCAGTGTCAGCTTTCGAGTGTTGATTAATTTTTTTTGATTTCTAACGCATTTTTTTTCGGCCTCTGTCTTTTCCGGTTTCTGTACTAAGTTATTTTATATGCTTCTCTTTCTTTTTAATCCACACACCACTCGCGAGAGATTCGATTTGATTCTCTTGTCCTGTGGCTGCTACTCTACAAACTCTCTTAAAATATATGTGAACTCGCGACCTCCATTAATTACCCTTACCCCTCTCTATTTCATGTCTATATATGCACGTGTGTGCATTACTTTGTGTGTATGTGTGTAAACGTTACCGGTTGGTTGTTATTTTTGATAAAAAAAAATGAACACTGAAAAAAAAATAAAAATAAAATACCCAAATTGGAAATAAATTTGGAAAATAAATAATATAGAGCCCGGCTCAAGATACGCATCGACGAATGTCCTGGCGGCCGTGCCACCGGGCACACCGCGCGCTGTCAGCACAGAGGATATAACCAGGTGAGTTGTGCCCCAGTTTTGTGCGGCTTTACGCATTATCGAATTAAGCAACTATTCAAATTAATTGGATTGCCTGCCATTCGACTAAATTTTGACCATGTGTGTTCTTAATACCAACAGAGAACCACGCACCATTACCATACAAAAGGGACCACAAGGTCTGGGCTTCAATATAGTCGGCGGCGAGGATGGCCAGGGTATTTATGTATCATTCATATTGGCCGGCGGTCCGGCGGATCTTGGCTCCGAGTTGAAGCGCGGCGATCAGCTGCTCAGTGTGAACAATGTCAATTTGACGCATGCCACACACGAGGAGGCGGCACAGGCATTAAAAGTGAGTAGCATACGTAACAACGGCAACCAGACAACATATATAACTAATCTCTGTCGCAGACATCTGGCGGCGTGGTCACATTGGTTGCACAATATCGGCCAGAGGATTATAATCGATTCGAGGCACGCATTCAGGAGCTGAAGCAACAGGCGGCGCTTAGCGCCGGCGGCTCTGGCACCCTGCTCCGCACCACACAGAAGCGTTCGCTATATGTACGCGCCCTCTTCGACTATGATCCAAATCGCGATGATGGCCTGCCGTCGCGCGGCCTGCCCTTTAAGCACGGTGACATTCTGCATGTGACCAATGCCTCCGACGATGAATGGTGGCAGGCACGACGCGTGCTCGGCGACAATGAGGACGAACAAATCGGTATTGTGCCATCGAAGCGGCGCTGGGAGCGTAAAATGCGTGCACGTGATCGCAGCGTCAAGTTCCAGGGACATGCGGCGGCTAACAACAATCTAGATAAGGTATAAATATGCTTGGATTTTCACGAAAGTGAAAAACTTGCTGAAGCGGCAAAGACAAATTAAAGCAATAGTATTTACAAGGCAGGCGCTTAGAGACTCATACACAATTTAGTTAACTGAGCTTAACTCAAGGCGTTGCTATCAATGTCGATGTAGTTAATAGTATATATGTATATACAACAAGCTGAGTCGATCCATTCGTGTCCGTTTGTCCTTCCGCCTGGCTGTATGTCAATGATGGAAGCTACAAAGTCAATATATATTCTCGTATTACATACTTAGATCGCATTTATTTATACGTGTACATTTTTCAATTTCTTTTCATAACACCGATAAATATTGATTTAGAAACAGTCTGCTTTTTAAAGAACATAACAAGAAAACGAATGTTGGAAATATCTAATTTCTAATAATATAGACTAAGTAATAGTATTTTACTTTTCGGACACGTCTGTCAAATATGTCTTCTCAAAGCTAGAGCCTTGTGATTTGGTATATGCACACATATGAATGCTCTATTTAATCTTGACAAATTTTATATAAATCAGGCAAGGAATACCCGAGATATTCGAGAATGTAGGTAGGTTTGTAAGGCAGCTCGCCGCTTGAGCATGCATCTGTTGTATTCTTAAATACAATGAATGTGAACTCCTACTCACTCACCACCCTTCTCTTTCTATGTCTGACAGCAATCAACATTGGATCGCAAAAAGAAGAATTTTACATTCTCACGCAAGTTTCCATTCATGAAGAGTCGCGATGAGAAGAACGAAGATGGCAGCGACCAAGAGCGTAAGTAGCAAAGCTCCAGCGCGTGGCATTCAAATAAAATACAATAAAAACGCGTTTACAACAACAACAACAACAAGAACAACAACAGCATCATCAACAGCAATAATAACAATGATAATGATAATGTTAATAATCATCAGAACAAGAACAAGAACAAGAACAACAAAAGCATCGAACGTCTTGAGCGACAGAGCAACAATTTATTTTGTTAATAATTTGTTAAGCGCTCTCTCACTTCCACCACTTAACTTATGTGTCTCTGTCTCTTTCTCTCTATCTCACTCTCACTCTGTTGAATGCTTTTCGTGTGGCATCTATGTGTGTAACAGCGCGGTGTCTAATTATATAATTACAATAAGTGTCTCCTCCTGTCTCTCTCTCTCTCTCACTCTCTCTCTCTCTCTCTCTCACCATCTCTGTTCTGTGTGTGTACGTGTGCCGTTGCGTGTGCCACCTGTCGGCAGCATATATTCAGACGCATAGATGAAAAACTCTTCAGTTTTTGATCAGTGTAACGTCATAAAATAATTCAACTTTAATTTATTTTTTAAATATTTAATTTTTAAGCGGAAACGTTTCATTTTCCTAATATACTTTTATGCATATATGTGTGCTTCAAATTTGTTTTTGATTATGTTTAATAAACAAATTATGAAGTGTATTCTACAAATTTATTTTGTACCACGAACTACGTACACACTCACACGCACAACAAATACACATACTTGTCCGCTTATTCCAGTGCCAAGCAGCACTGAGACCATCTAGACCTCATTATTATATTCTTTTTATACCCTTGTAGATTGTATTCTGATTTCGCAATGAAAAAAATTAAAGTATTTAGATTCTTGATCAGTTCTAACAGCCGATATTATAATTATTCTATCCAAAGTTTAGTTGTGATAGGAACGATAGCTCGAAAATTAAGTACATGTATTGAAAACTTATTGTTTATCAAGATATCTTAACCAAACTTACATATAGCTGCTATAGGAAAAGTCGGTGGAATAGAAGGATCTTATATGGCAAAATTTTTGGCTTTCAAAGCATTTCTGAGCTGCAGTATTCTTACATATCTGTAAAAGGGACATCTCCATTTATATATTTATATATATATATGTATATTTTCAAGATATTTTTACCATACTTGACATTTACTTGTTTTTCAATGCTTCTTGCATGCTATTAAAATCTTATTAATATCAAAGTACTATATTAAATAGCTATATAGTTCGACTCGGTCGGTAGGAAACATGTCTGTTTTTCAATATATTTCTATCAAAACTCTAAAAGATATCTGCAAAGCCGTACAAAATCAGACCCCTATATCTTTTGGCATTTATAGATGAAAATGGTTAGAAATAACGTAACTCTTAGCTAAATGTCTACAAGGGTATCTAAACTTCGGCGTGCCGAAGCAAATCGTTCTTCTTGTTTCCATTCGAATTTTTTTTTCCTTTTTTTTCATACTTATTTTAACAACTACAAGTAAGTAAAATTCGGCGTTAATACGAATATAAATGCCCTACATTGTTAATTGTGTATGTTGTTATTATTTTTAAACCTAATTTTCTAATGTTTTTGTCTTGTTTTTCAACAATTATTTCATGCATTTAACGTTTTATTTTGTTTATTTTCATATTTTATTGTGTCGTTCCGAACATATGCGATGGTCCTGTGCGTAAACCCAAACCCCCAAATGATTCATTCACACACACACACAACATCCCACACACCCGAACTTAATCAATATTGAAATTTGTTGCGTTTTCTCTAAACGCGTGTGTTGTGCTGTGCTTGGGTGTGTGAATTCCCTGTGATATCTACAGCAAACGGATTTGTAAACAGCAACAGTGAAATTGATGTTAACAATGTTAACAATAATCAAGCAAACGAGCCGCAGCGTAAGTGTGTGTGCCTGTGTGCACGTGTGTGTCCTCATACGCACACATGTGCATATTGTTACATGTCTTATAATATATATCTATTTATATATATTTTGTGGGATATCAGTTGTTATAAGTGTGTATTATATACTTATTATAAGTATATATATATATTTTTATATATATATATATATATTTATATATATATATATATTTCTAAATTCATGTCTAACCATTTTGGCATATATGTATGTATGTTATATCTACTCATGTATTGGTTGTGTTTAAGCATAAGTTTGCATACGGTTTATGTTTTACACTCTGGGTTCCTTCTCTGGCAATGGGCCTCTCACATACACAGTAATACACCTGTAAACGAGAATAAGCATATGTACACAGTATTTGAGCTCTACTAACAATGCACACGTACTTATACACGCACACACACACACACACTTATATATATATATATATATATATATATATTTATATGTAATGTTAAGAGCTAGTGTGAATCTAACAAAATATTCGATTATGTAATCCCCAACCAGACATCAACGTGCTTCAGCGTTCGCTACAACCAACAACAACAACAACAACAACAATTCATATCTATGCTCATTAATTCTTATACATACATACACACAAGTACTCAGGTACTTACATGCATATAGACAGATATATGTATGTATGTTATTGTGCTGCACCATATACAAATTGTTCGTCGTGCTCTGGAACAGCTACATAACGCTTTTACCTGTCTTACCTGTCTATATAGACGCAACTACTGCTATAGCTAAATATTATCTACTGCTGCTCTTCAGACAACAGAAAAATAAAAACAACAATATAATACAGGAAATAATACTATATCATCATCAATTTAATTCTCTCTATTTACCTTCTTGCATTTTTTTCAAGCACACGCAATGTGTGTGTTTAAAAATGTAACTGAAAAACTATATTTCTCATCTTTCATAATTACATGCATATATACTATATATATATATAAAAAAAAAAAGAAAAATTTAAAAAAAAGCAACTATTTACTACTCTCACATATTTTACATCTAATTTTTACTGCTATTCTGTTTTAAACTGACCAAAACGTATATCTTTTTCGATTCTCTTTTTTTATTTTCTCTTCATTTTTCTAGCTTTTATGCTTTGCTACACACAAGACGATGCCAACGCTGAAGGAGGTATGTACTTGACTATAAACTTGATGCTTAACTAGAAGCAGATACACACACACACACACACACACACACACACACACACACACACACACACACACACACACACACACACACACACACACACACACACACACACACACACACACACACACACACACACACACACACACACACACACACTTACACACTTACACATACACAAGTACACATATATCTAGTTATATACACTTACAAGCTAATTGGATGTTTTGTCAAAATCATACATACATACATACATACATTTGCGTACATCTTACGTGATTATTTGTGTACTTGTATTTATTGGCCATACATATATACATACATACACACTCACACACACAGTTACATGAGCTACACTAACCAACACGTATTGCATTTTCAAACTCAATTCAATATTCACTGGCATTTACGCATCTTTAGTAATAAGAAATAAAAAGAATCTAACCTTCAGCCCATTTCACACATTTCAATACACCGTATACCTAATCTAATCAATTTTATTTTCAAATACCAACAACATTCATACATACATACATATATACATACATTATTGCATATGTCGATGCTAACAACTAAATTAGACTATTATCTATAATTTGTGTTTCGTATTTTGGGTTTTCTCAATTATTCTTATTTCACACATTAATATTACTCGTATTGTAAGTCCTTTCGTACATTCACATCTGCACACTTTGTACACGTGAATATACATATAAATCATGTACATCTATATACATATATTTCAATGCTTAATTTAAAGAATCTATTTTAAACTATTTCTATCAGCCAAATACAAGTCAATTTAGGCAAAAAATATATATGCTCGATTATCTGCGCGATGATCTAAGAACTTTTCACAATTTATACAATTATTAGTTTAGCCCCTCTAACTATGTTCTTCACATTGGCTCTCAGTCAGACGGAATTACTCTCTTGAGAGAGCGTTTAATTTTTCAATTTCTCTTTGCGCGACATTCGTAAACGTTTCAATATCGTTTGACGTTGTTGATACATTGGAATTTGTTGGAATGCTGAGTTTTTAGCAAACAAAAATATCTATATAACTTCGAAGAATCATATTATATATGACGTCTTCTTAGATACAATATAATACCCACATACATACATACACATGCTTCTCTTGCATATGTAAATAATGATACTTAATTGTGATAATATTTTCTTTTTTTTTTGTTTTTTTTTTTTTAACTATGTACACTACTATGATGTACTTATATTGTGCATATATAAAACAAATATATATATACCTATATTGTGTATCTATCTTAAGAAAAACGATTCGTATGTAAGTTCCATGCCACATGTAAAGACATACGTACATACTAACGTAATTAAAACATACCTAGTTGGTCCAATCGAACTCTTATGATGATGTGTAACTACCTAGTTTCTTGCATATTATTATTTATCGTACAAATTTATATAGTTTTAGTAATTTGGTATTATTGAGGATCCTACATGATTGTGACTAGAACGTATGCATACAATGCATATGTTTGTGTGTACTACGCAGACTTCGCCCCTTCTATGTATATTCAACTAAATATTTCCAGAAAAACTTTCGAAACTCAATTATATATGTTTAATTTATACGCGAGTGTCTTTATGTTTTTTGTTTTGTTTTTATTTTCAATATATTTTATATGTATACGTTATACAATAATCGATAACCGATAAACACTTGCCGTATATGTTCTAAACTTTTTATATAGATGTGTACATACATGAACACTTAAAATATATTGACATACTTGTGGGCTTTTCATCAATTTGCAAACTTTGGCAACACTTTTGCTTAGCTACTCACAACAAAGCTGAAAGTGAATGTTGTAAAATGTATCGAAACTATCGATAGTCATTTAAGCTCGATTGTCGATATAATTCCTTTTAACAGGAATACTGTACCATTGTTGGATCCATCTTTGATCTGATACATGAATTCATGAATAAACCACAATTAAACATATGCACATATGAATATTTTTATAAATAATTACATTCCTGTGCGTGTGTGTGTGTGTGCGTGTTATTTGTCAATTATCGTTGTGTTAATTTAAGTTAACCAATAAGTAAGTGTATACTTATTAAGTACTTACATTTACACTTGCCTACACACTCATTAGGTCCTGGCGATTTATATACAAGCATTACGTGCTCGTGCGGCACAATTATATGAGGTTACGCTAACCTAATGTTTTTTTATTTTTAATTGTCTTTTTGTTAACTTTATTCACATTGATGGTAATTTGCTCTAATCCCAAAATCTTGAATACGACATCAACTCGTACAATAAAATCTACATTTGGGATTTTATTTGAACACTTTTGGTTGATTTAATCACTTTCTCTGACATTATTTAATTTTATATCATAGAATACTAAATACACTGGCGTCTTGTAAATATTCACTAAATAAGATTTATGCGCTTTCTTACATGCGTACATATGTATGTATGTGTGCACATGCACCTGCTGCATATGTATGCATGCATATAGATGTATGCACTCTCTAATATCCACATGAATACTCGTAATACTCGTGTGCTTGACAGAAAAGTACGCATAATACGCGTTTCACTAACACTAACCAAACGAGTGTTGGCTTGTATCAGATATTTGTGCAAAGATAAAATCAAAGTCAAATTAATTAATTGCTTTTAGGATTGATTGTTATTTTTTTTTTTAAGTTTCTCATCAAGTTTTAGACATACATGCATACATACGAGTTAAGTATGTATACGTACACTGAACACATTTTCACAACAACAACAACAACAAAAACACCCGATTCTCTTAAAGATCGTTTAAATATTGCAGGTTAATCCAAATATATACAAATGATTAATTTTGTTTATCTTTTTCTTCTTTTTCTTTAATTATTGATTTCCAATTTAACTTAACCCTTGTGTGTGAACTATTTTCAATTTTACGTTCAACAATTACAACAAAAACAACAACAACAATATCTCAAATATATATATTTACTAAATGCTTCGTCTACTTTCCGCTGCCTACTGCTATTTACGACTCTACTACTTCTGTCACTACTCTTCTACTACTACTACTACTACTACTACTACTACTACTACTACTACTCTTCTACTACTACTACTACTACTACTACAACTACTACTACTACTACTACTACTACTACGACTACTACTACTACTACTACTACGACTACTACTACTACTACTACTACTTCTACAACTACTACTACTACTACTACTACTACTACTACTACTACTACTACTACTACTACTACTACAACTACTACTATTTATGTTTCTTAAACTATTTACTGTGTGTATTCAATACGGCATTGTTATACTTTCGTTACGTTTGATAATTTACATATATATACATATATCTACCGAAAACTATATCTCGTAATTTTCGAAAAAAACAACAAACAAATGCCACAAACTACAACAAAAAACCTTTAATAATATATATAAAAAAAAACAAATATTGTCAATATGTTACATATATTCCTATTTTGTTAATCAAAACTTAATTTTATTTGTTTTGGGTTTTGTTATTACAAAAAAATAATATTTGAATCAAACAAACTTTTCAACTGATTGAAAAACCTATTATAAATACATCAATATATATAAATATATTTGTTACAACCATGCGCTCGTTCATGTACTGCGACAACAACAACAACAACTACAACTACTAAATTTATCAACTACCATCCCCGTACATCACTACTACTATCAACCAACCAACCAACCATTTGATATTTGATATATGATATATGTATAAATGAGCGCAGGCGAGATTATCTACAGAGTGGAATTACCCGATATGGAGCAGATAACTTTAATCTACTTGGAGAATAATGATGCTGACTATCGTAAGTCGAGCAAATAAGCAACAATTTTTGTAAAAGAACCAAACAAACCATATAAATGCAACAACAGCTATAAAGGCCTTAAAAAATATTACAAAAAAAAAATACATTAAAGCTTACGTTTCTAAAAAAAAAATATTAGGTTTAAAATCAGAACAATGTCCAGTATATATCTATTTTTGTTCCTTTTTTTTAAAAAAAATTTTTTTTTCAAACTTTATTTATCAAACAAAACGAAACTGCAAGCAATTTTCCTTCTTAAATTCCGGTTACTTGGTTAGTTTCCTACTCTCTAGCCCTATCTCTCTCGCACACACACTCTCTCTCCTTTTCTCTCTCTCTCTCTATCTTTCTCTAAGTCCATCACTCATTTTCTGCAGCTCTACCTTTCCAATTTTGAATAATAGCTCTTGAATTTCCTTTTATTATGCCAAAGCGAAGGTCTCATTTTAGAAATTTCCTGGCTAGTATTATCAGCATTTGCTTATACACAATAATTTTTTTTTCTTTTTAGAGGAATGATTTAGCTTTAATATTACGGATATTCCATGTTAATACAATTTTTTTCCCCTTCTTTTTCCCCCGAAAAGCAACCGATCCAGTCTGATGACAATTTTAGTGCAAAGTTTTAATGAACAGCTTTGATTTTTGATCATCTGCTTATGCGACACATATATGATAAAGCCTCGTTAAATATCAGAAGCGTGATGTCCTTTCCATAAATTGATCATGTGTGGAATGCTATAATCGTATTCCCATCCCATTTTGCCCAGAACATTACCTCGTACCCTGTGTTGGAAATACACAAATGCACACACTAGTCAACAATTACTTATTTGTTTTCCGATTTCATTAGAACTAAAGTACAGTTGCTTATTGACGTACCACTGTCGATAATTTCTATCGAGTTTGAAGTGTTCAGTGTGTACCGAAGATTTGAATATGCTCATATTCACATTTTACGCTTTTCAAGTTCGTGAGAAACGATTTTGTTAATTTCGTATAAGGTTGCAGTTTTATTCCGTAGCTTAGACGAGCCACAATATTTAAGATTGTAGAGTTTAGTTTCTAGTTCGGTGCGCTTATGCCTGTTCTCTCTTTTGTATATTTTCCTTTTTCGCTAACTCTATTACTTTCATTCCTTTAACTATATATTGAGTCGTTTAATAAGCGTATTCTTTTTTTTCTTCTATTATATTTGCTTAGTTTCATGTTGTGCTTCATTCATTTCACATTTATTCTTTTCAAGCAATTTCTGTAGTGGTCACAATCGTAAAGCCGAAACTATCCAACACCGATAGATGTATTGTTATTGTCATTAATCGTTATCGATATCGTACCATTGCACGCACATTTCCACCATTTTTTTTTTCTTTCGAAACATTTGTTGCCACACAACCGGAAGTGAACACCTGTGTATCCAAAACCTCCTCCATAGGAGTAGTTAAAAGAAAGAAAACAACAACAACAACAACTACAAGAACTCCCTTTGCGAATTGATTTGTATGTATGTTTCGATTAATTATTTAAGCTTAAGGTAACAAGAGGAATGTGAACGACGACAACGCAAATAGTTCAATATAGTATAATATAATGATGTATTGAAAATTGATTTTACTGAATTATCGAAAGTTTCTGAAGATAAATAAAAGTCTTGTTTGATTTAAGGAGTGTTCTTAATTTATCGTATACGTCAGTGTATTCTCACGATATCACAAACTTATTTATCCAGAAAAAAAAAGAGAACCTTTCATGCCCGTTTCCAAATTTACTTTACTTCACACATTCCCTTCGTTCGTTCCGTCAAAAGATGCATCATCTATCTTATTAATTTCTGATTATACTCGTATTTGCGAACTTTGTTTACGACAATAATTGGCATCATTTCTTTTGATTTACTAATTAATAGTTATATCTTAACATGAATTGCAAATGAATTCCCATGACATGCTGTGTTACAGAGTGAGTAAACTTTAATTTCCGAAATTCAATGTGAAATCGAAACGAAGAACCAACAGCAACAACAACAACAACAGCTAAAACTAAATGTTTTCACACATCTATATCTATAAATATATATAGCTATATTAAAAGAAGGATTTATTTTTGAACATAAGTCCATATATATACATATATATATATTTTGCTACCCAAAAAGTACACGACATGCGAACCCAATTATTTGTCTAGGCTAAATACATATACATATATGTATAGTATATATAGTATATATATAGTATAAGCACTTAAGTTAAGTAACTAATGAATTTCCATATAAGTCGTCATATGTAGAACATATCATATAGTTCGTTGTTTGTATTGCACTAACATTTACTCTTAAGTTCGTTCATGTTGATTTTGTTTTGTTTTTTTGTTTTCGTATTGATATGTTATGTGTTTGCATCAGTTTGGTGAATTAAAAAAACTAATAACATATTCTTTAGCTGTATCTGTATCTGAGTACCTGAATGCCGCAGATAATTGGCCAAAAGTTGATGATGAATTGTATTTGTGTATTTGTTGCTCGTCTAGTTCGTATTTAGCACCTTTCGTAACTCAACCTTTGAACATGAGACAACCACTATGTATATATGTATGTAATGCCACGATTTTTTTTTTATATAGAAACCTTTATCTTTATCTTGTGTATTATTTGTGCCTATGGGCAAAAGCAATTAATTTTTGTCGGGGGCTCTTTTTTTTTTTATTATAATACTATCCCCAACTACTTTTCACAACTTTTCGAGTTGATCTAGAAAAATATTGTTTGCTTTAATGAAATTTTTTTACTTTTGTTTTTATACATAAAAATGCAGTATTTGCGTAGTTAATATTTTGGGTTTTTTTTTACATACGTTGAAATTCGAGAAATACTTTATTTTATTTATATCCTCGTTTTTCTTTTTAATTCTGGTTTAGCATAAGCGCTCGTTACATTAAAATCTACTAAGCTAACTATTCGCCTTTAGCTTATTTGTTTCTTTCCACCTGAGAGCCGTCGTTGACAATAAATGCAATATTATTAATTAAATGCTTACAACCAAAATAATAAGGACACAAGAAAGAAAAAAAAAACAACATGAAGTTAAATTTGAACTACCTTTGCGCTCTATCTCTCTTGATATCTCTTTATCTTTCACTTTCTTTTTAGTTTTTTGAGCATATTCTGTTCCAAATTGAAAAACTACTATAACTTTAAACCCTATGTGAAAAAAAAAATGTATTTAATTTCTTGAGAAAACCAAAAAAAAAAAAAAAAGAATAATGAAAATAAAACCAAAATACTAACCCTAATCCTAACCTAACCTAACCTATTCCATTCATTCCGTACATTTTGTTTTTGCACCCGCTCAAAACCTAATACCGTTGCCTACTATGCTTACAGCTTCCGAGGAGAACGTGCTGTCCTATGAGGCCGTGCAGCGTTTATCCATTAGCTATACACGTCCCGTTATAATATTGGGACCACTTAAGGATCGTATCAATGACGATTTGATATCTGAATACCCGGACAAATTCGGCTCATGTGTGCCACGTAAGTCTTTACTATTCTAATTCAATATTATAGGGGTTAGAGATCTTACTTAAATTAAAAGATTTGCATTGATGCCTGTAATTCTCAACAAGTTAAAGATTCGAAGTTAATTGTGAATTAAAGTGATATGTAATATTTATACGGACTCCTGCCACAGATACCACACGGCCGAAACGCGAATATGAGGTAGATGGCCGGGACTATCATTTTGTGTCATCGCGCGAACAAATGGAGCGTGATATACAGAACCATCTGTTTATCGAAGCTGGCCAGTACAATGACAATTTGTATGGCACTTCGGTGGCCAGTGTGCGCGAGGTGGCCGAAAGGGGCAAACACTGCATACTGGATGTTTCGGGCAATGCAATTAAGCGCTTGCAGGTGGCGCAACTCTATCCGGTTGCTGTTTTCATAAAGCCCAAGTCTGTGGACTCTGTGATGTAAGTGCTCAAACATAAAATGATACTCCATACGAAGTTCCATATTTACAATGCACTCGTTGCAGGGAAATGAACCGTCGCATGACCGAGGAGCAGGCCAAGAAAACATATGAGCGCGCTATTAAAATGGAGCAAGAATTCGGCGAATACTTTACGGGTATGTGTTTGCGTTGGTGTTGTGTATTGTGTTGTGTATTTGTTATACAAATAATTAAAATTTGTAACTCGTCGCAGGCGTTGTACAAGGCGATACAATCGAGGAAATATATAGCAAAGTCAAATCAATGATTTGGTCGCAATCGGGACCAACTATTTGGGTACCATCGAAGGAATCTCTATGACCAACAGCCACAACAACATGGACACTGCCGCCTCGAGTACGTTGTCGACCTGTCTCGAGAACACCAACAACAACAACAACAACAGCAGCAATAGCAGCAACAACAACAGCAGCAACAGCACCATCAACAGCAGCATCAACAGCAACAGCAGCAGCAACAACAACAAATCAGCCGCAACAAAAAACGTCTCATTGATGCATCAACACAACGACGCTGCAAACACCAACAACAGCAACAATACGCAGCAGTCAAACCGATGTTGTTCATGATTAGATTGGTTATTGTTTTTTTTTTTTATAAACAATTAACATTTGCCGGAGCAGTTCAATAGGAGCCCAAAAAAAAAGGAAACACACTAAATCAAGATTCTTGGCTATTAGCTCTTAGCTCTCTTGCTGTGAGGACAAACTGTTCAAACTGAAGCGGCGGCTGTTTAGTTTAAGTTAGAACAAAATTGATAAAAAAAAAAAGAAAAAGAAAAACACACACAACCACATACATACAAACCGAAAGCATATTAATCGTAAGATCTATATAATATGAAGCAGATGAGGAAGATTAGAAAGGAGAACGTTCGTTAAGCGCTAGTGTTGTTTGTTTATGTTGATGTTTATACGAGAGTTATAGCGAGTTAGTTATATGGACGCTAATGATAATATGGTACATTATAATATACATATGCATATATTGTATATGTATGTATAATAGGTATATAAATCTTTAAGTGCGACAAGCGTCAGATATACTACGTTGAAGGATAGCAATTTAAATTGAATCAGTTGGCGAATACGACTATATAGGTATATATATATGGGTAAATAGATGACGACGACGACGACGATAAGTTGGTGCATTTGTTGTTAGATGTATTGTATTTTTTTCCCCACGCGCCTTTGCCTAATGCAACACAAATCACACGATAAGAATCATGCTGCATAAGCACACACACACACACTGACTCACACACACATCTATGTACACAAATACCATGTAGCCTAACTAAAGAAAAGCGTCAGCAACGAGCTATTTATTTATATGTATATAGATATATGCGCTATATATATACATATATATAAAAATGAGTATATAGAGAGGGAGAGAGGGCAATATCACTTCTTTCAATACAAAAAGTCATTTTACTATTTAACATACGCTATATATGTTAGACAGCATTAACTAATTGTGAAAGCGTCGTGTTGATTTCAAACACATACACATACGCATATTACGATCAATACAACATATACACCCATATATATTATATACTTATATATATATATAAATATATATATAGTATATAAATAATATACACCGATACGGTTTAATTTTACAATTGAATATGCAACAACTTAAATACCTTGTTGGTATTGACATATATACATATATATATATATATACATTTTTTTTTGTATTGACAGCAAACAATTAGCTAATGTTCAACAAACAAACAAACAAATTTATAAATTATAGACAACGCACATAACTGCTAATAACCCATTATTTTTTTCCTACTTTTCTATATATTTTTTTTCTAAGAAATTTAGTAAAATTCAAGTTTAATAAGATTATGATTTTTTTTCGTTTGTTTCGTGTGTGTCGCTAACTTTCCAAAATATTGAAAAGATCTATCGAAAAGAAATGTATACGTTGTGCATTTATGTACATAGCTGTATGTCTTATGGAAAGGGAAGCATTTGCATATTATTAATAATACATATATATATATATATATATATTTTTTTTTTTTCGTCTCTGTCCTTTACATTTGTAATATCAATATTTTGTAAATTATAATACCTTCGATCCCTGCTTTATAAACATTGATCAGTATATGTACGTGCAGACAATGCATACAAAATTCGATTTCACATAGTACGCAAAATGCATTGTTGTATTTCATAAACACAAAAACCTAAGCGAATTATATTAATTTAAATCTTTAAAAAAAAAAACAGTAAATGTAATAAAAATAAACTACAAAAAAAAAATACAACACATATTTCATCAAAGCCGTAACAAGTTTTTAATCAATTTCCAAGAAAACTTTCAAGAGGACGTGTGAAAATGTTAAAAGCTATAAAGAAAACAAAATTTTGTAAAACTGTAAAAAACAGTACAAACACATCTTCACACTCACATACACACACACACACACACACACACGCACAGTTAAATTTTGTGAAAATCGACCGTTAAAGCCACGACTGCGAAATATGTGAAAGAAACTAAATCAAGGCAAATAGGATATGGCACACTTATTGACGATTCTTATGGCGAATATATTCCAGATCGGGTATATAGTATATAGTATATAAGATTGCCAAAATGTTATAAGCCTTAGACGAAATAGTTGTGTACTAAACTGAGCGATATGCCCACAATTGATTCGGTGCGAATTAGGACTGTGTTTGGGATATGAAAATTCTGAATTCGATATTTGTCATTTATAAACGCATATGCGTGTATGTGGCACATTCATACGTGGCTCTTATGATACACTTACTTATATTAATATTAGTGGCCGCTGTATGTGTGCCGAATAGACTCCTTCACTCTTTAAGCATGTACATATTGTACGGATTTTGTCTTTCAATCGATAATCTAATAAATATTCTGCCTACCAAACACCCGCCTTGCAATCTCTTAGTGAAGTACCTCGCGCCTGTGTAAGCAAAATTTAAACAGAAAGCAATTTAAAGTACATACAACATACAAAAGAAATGGAAATTAAATTGAATGGAAATTGAAAATCAATGGCAAATTTTACACATGCATGGTTGGAAACGTATGTGGGGGAATGTTTAAATAGTTGATAGATAAATTACAGAGAGTGTATATCTTATAAGTATATACTATAACAAATGAAATGAATAGATTTAATAACGATTTACTGTATGTATCTCATATAGAAGAATTTCACATACTTATGGGGTTTTAAGCCCAAATGCGGTAAACTTTCTTTTCTAATAGTACATAGTATATACATATATATATATATATATATATTTCAAAGTCAAGGTAACTGTTCCAAAGCCTTAAATGCAATTAATTAACGCATTTACGAGTATATCCAAGTTACATACACATACATTGCTTATCTATGAAATGCCCTATTTCTAATGATGAAAACAAAAATGAAAAACAAAAAAAAAAACAAATGACAATTTTTGATGTAGCCTTAGAAAATATATGCAAGAATTTAAAGAAAAGAGAGAAAAATTAAAAAAAAACATTTATTAGAAAAATTTAAATAATACCATAACACACAAAACAATACATATTTATAATGTGTATATGTAAAACTAATACTGAAAGGCATTTAACGATCCCATTGTTCAAAACAATTTTGTGCTACATCTACATGATGAACAAATCGATGAATATCGTAAATTTGACAGCGTATACTTAAAATTTTTGTGGAAGCATTTCATCAAAATGGTGCCTTTATCAGTTATTGTTGTCGGTATTAAATGAAAACAAAAAATGAAGTATAATATAACAAAAAAAGAAAACAGATAAAATTACATAAATTTATATAGTTAAGTATAATAATCCATAATGCAGCACATGCTATTTATTGTAGATTTGAGAATTGAGAAATATTCAGTTGCGGGCTGTGATATCTGCTCGAACATCTTAAATATCAGCTTAAGGAATTTAGTTCAAATTGATTGAAAAGCTGTTGCTGCTTGATCGTAGCCCCTGTTCAAAATTCATCCCTCCCCCAGCACACACACACACACACACACACACACTCCTCCCCCCAGGCCCTTTACTAATTATGTGCTCGTTAACAAAAGTAATCATTTATTGAAATCAAGAAATTCATGAAATATCATCAAGAGATTTGTTGTTAGGTGTTACACAAAATGTACTCATTTGATTGCTTTGTAAATTTAAATAATATATTATATACTAGCACACATAATACATATATTACATATGTAGTTTACAATGAGTTCAAATGCATAGTTAATATTGTTAAACTTTCTGCAAGCAGATAAAAATCCACTTTGCTAAGATTTCAATTGATATAGCTAGTAGCCCAATTTCTATCAGAGATCTGTTTCTCATTTTTCCTCTCGCCTTCAGCTGCTTTCATCTGAGCATAATTCTGATTTCATCTATATGCTCGGTTTTCCGTATGTATAATGAGAGTCTTCTTAACTCTCAGCCTAAACAGTTGCGTTGCTCCTTTTAATTACAGCTCTGATGTAGTTTTTCCCCATACTTATGCTATATTTTCCTGAGCAGCTCATTCAAAAAGTGCAGCGAAAGGCAATTTCTCAGAGGAACACTCCCTGTTCAGCGGGGTGTGGTGGGATCGGGCGGGGCGGGGTGTGTGGGGAGGTACCCTTAAGCGATTCGCGGTCGTGGCACAAATGCACTTGTGTACGTCCACAAACACATGCACATATGCACACCTACGTTTGTATTTCAAATACATATATACTATATATGTATGCATGTACACACAACTACACACTCACTCACACACACGTACACACAAATTAGTTATAAAAACAATTTGTGAATTCTGCATAATGTATTATTTAGAAGTTCATCAAAAGATGCGACATTCGTAATAAACAAGAAATTCAATACGTAATTTATTTACTCATCTAATGACTGTCATACATGCATACATACACACATGTCTATGTATATGTGTATATGTATGTGTATGTGTATGTGTATGTGTATGTGTATGTGTACATGCAACTAGAGCGTACATCATTTGGGCTTTAACGCTTGGAGATTTCAGCCCAGCAATTGAGTCGTGCCGCATTTTCAGGTTGGTTTTTTAGCTAGTCGTCACGAGCACGAAACAGAAATTTTAAGCACGCTCACGACAAGCACGATCCAAAGTGGACACGGTGAAGCACAGCGAAGCACAAACTCATAGTTCAATTTGTCGAAATTTGATTTATTCATTTATTTCTTATCATTTATTTGAAAAAGTATTTAATTAGTTAATTACTTTTATACCAGTTTATTTATTATTTTATTTATAACAAGACAGAACAGCTATGCTTGGCAGACCGAAGATCAAATACCCTTGAAGACATTAGGAGGCATATGATATACTAGGAGGTAGGTGGAAGAATAGAATAATTGCCGAGCAGAGAAGTTTTCCAAAACAAAACGCATTTTTCGCTGATTCTTCCCATAGAGCTATATGATAAAGCTATCCGATGTTAATAAGGTTTTCCTCATTTGTTTGGAGCTTGGAAAAACAGGTAAAAGTTAAGTTTCGTCAAGATATTTCGATATTCTGAAGTGCTTAGTTTTTTAGAGATTTATTGAAAAGCAAAAAAATAAACACATTTTTCAAACGATTTTTTCTATATAGCTATACATTACAAAGTTATCCGATAATATGAAGATTTTGCTCATGAGCTTGGCAAAACTGGCAAATGACATGTTTTGTCGAGATTTATTGAAAAACAAATAAGTTTTCTTTAGAAAATCCATCTTCGACTGTTTCGTTCTATATAGCTTTATGATATAGTTATCTGATATAAGAAAGATTTTGCCCATATGTTAGAGCCATAGAAAAATGGCGAAGTGTCAAGTTTGCTAAAGATATCTCGAAGATCCAAAAAGTTACTTTTTATGTAAGAACATAGCTATATGATATATTGGTCGGCTGTTGAAAAAACTTTGCATAGCGAAACAAATAAATGCCAAGTTTTATCGAGATATATAGATGCTCATACAAAAACTCTGTTCTCGACCGATTTTTCTCCAAAGAGCTTTATATGACATATATGCTGCCTATAACTTAAATACATACAAATGGTGATAGCTGTTAAACTTCGGCTGATCAAGAATATATGTACTTTCTACACATTTAATAGCCTCTGCCAGTATATAACTAGTCACTAGTCTAAGAATATTATATCCGTATTATATACTTATAAACATATGCTGCCTTTCGTATCGCTCTGAATCTTGTGTTTTTGTGGTCGAATCTCGAAAATGTACTCACTTAGCTTGGGCTCGCATATCGATGTGGTGCGTGCAATTGAAGGGAATCTGATACGATCCAATTAGACTAATTAGCTGGAATGCGTGTTGGCTAATTGGATGGACCCATTGGCAATGGGGCTAGTTGGTCGAGCGCAGATAGATATCGAATTGGACGAGCGTTATGAAATAGGAGAAGGCCGTCACCGAAATGATAAAGATGAGCCGCCGGTCCAGATGCAGCAGACCGCACAGCATGGGCTGTCGATATTGCAGCAGCTGCAGCGAGAACTGTTCCAGCTGCAATGGAGCGCAACAATGTTAGGCAAGCAATTGGTTGGACTAATTGGGATGGAGCACCTCTCGGCTTAGACGCCTCCTAGGCGTTCCCGGCGTCGGATAGTCGCAGAACTGACGCACGGTGAGTGCGAGACGCGCCTGCTCCACCTTGATATGCTCGTTCACCAGGGTGACTATGTAGGTGTCCACATAGAAGCCGAGCGCATAGAGGCCGCTGACCACAATTGGGTAGGGGACGTTAGCGAGCGAGTGTGTGGCCAGCATATTGAAGATGGTAAAGAAGTTGGTGAGATTGTTGATCAGCGTGGTTAGCATCAGCCCAAGCAGCTGGAACTGATGCATCCGAAAGCTGCTCACATACAGGGCGTGTATGTCCCCGAAGCATGCTCGCAGCCTGGCAATCCGATGCGAGAGCCGGCCACAATGGTTCAGCGGCTGCGATTGCAAACGCCGCAGCTGGCCGAGAGCGGCACACAGCTGGAGATGCAGCAGGCGCAGGTACTTGAGCACGCTGCTGTTGATGTAGTAGAAATAGTCGGCCATGTTCTCCGTGTAGTTCCACAGCACAAACGAGTAAATGGCAAACTGGGTGCGCAGCTGCCCGTTAGCGGCGCCGGCTAATGCAAATATGCCGCACACCTGGGCAATCATCATGATGTTTATCAACACGAACTTGAAGTACATGAAGAGCTCAAAGCTACGCTTCGGCCAACTGGGACCACGGTAGCTGGCCGCGAAAGCCGCCTCCAGGCGGGCCCGCTGCAGCGTGCAGCCGTGATTGATGGCCCTAAAGTGGAACGTGTTGGCCATGTAGGTGACTATGACCGTCGCGTATTTGATGAGCGTATTGCTAAACGATACGTACAGCACCAGCTGCATGCGGCGGTCATCCGTTGCAGTCAGCGCCCGATAATTATAGCCAAAATAGCAGGGCAACACGACAATCAGCAGCAGGCTGAGCACATGGCTATAGCCGATGAGCAGCGTCTTCAGCGTCGAGCGCATTTGGCGCTGCGGCACATAATCTATTATCACCTGGCCATAGATGTTCGCATAGATGTGGCCGTATCTGTAGAACTTGTACTCGTGCCGCTCCCAGAAGCTACGCCTATCGCACATGGCGCACACTCGGCCTGCCGCAGTTGCACTAAATGCGGCAACCTGCTGCCTGTTGCCTGTTGCCTCTTGCTGTGGCACGCTTGGGCGCTTGTGCGTGGCGCCTTGCATGTTGATTCGACGATACGTTCAATACGCAAGCAGCAACTGACGTAAAGGTTACTGGTGGAACGAAGAGGTGAGTGGAGGGAGAGGGGAGAGGGGGAATCAGGAGAGTATACTTATCTTTGGCTTATGGAATTCTTGCCAGATTCTTTGATTCAGATCTGATTCAAAGCAGCATTTATATGCATGTACATAGAGTTATAAAGATTAAAACTCTATTGTCCACTTATTTTCATCTAAAAGAAAATCTTCTCTATCGTGTTTCAAAACTAACTGCTCCTAAAGATACTTTTACGCACTCGTCTGGCGATTGGCATTAAAAAAATCAACATTTTTTCCATTCCGATTTGCTAAAAAAATGCTGACCTTTTCATGATCGTAGTTTATTTAAACGAGTTACAGCTCATATGGACTTATTACTATTGATTGGCATTTAAATTTAAGAATTAAAACTTTCCCATTATTAATAAGTCCAAGAATGCATATCTTTCCAAGATCAAACTTTATTTACCGAAATAGAGCTGTTAAAGTTTAATTATTATTTTTTCTCATATTGAATAACTGTGAATATCGTAGGTACCTATCTACTTCATGTGTCCCTTTTTATATTTTCAAGAAATATGTATGCGTATACTTAATATTCCAGCAGCTATATAACATAAACTGCAGCTGCAGCCGACAATACAGTCGAATTAACAGCTGCTGCTGCTGCTGCTGCTGCTTAACAGCCGACTTAACAGGCGACTGCTAATGAACTTGCGAGTTTACAGCAGCTTAACATTTATGCCCCTTGCGCTTATGCAATGCAATTTTTTTTTGCACATATTTTGTCAACCTGCTGTCAAACATAAATGGCATGTTCGCCTGGTATTTATTTCAGTTGAAGTTCAGCCAGCAATTTAGCGCTCGCTGATTTTTGCCCCTATTTTTTATATTTTTAAAAAATGCATATATAGAACTTAAAGGTATTCATATTTCATTATATATCGGACTATTTTTAGTTTTTTGCTTTAAATAGCTATGATTGGAGCTTATCGAATTCTTCAGTCTAAAAATATCTGAATACATATACTATATTAGAAAACAAGTAAGAATGCTCTGGTCGGGCGTGCCCAACCAGGAGATACCCTGCATATTCCGATATGGCTCCAAAATCGGGCTGTATTTAATCGAGATATTTTAATTTGAACATGTTTAAAAACCTTAAAAGAGTTTAACTCGATTAAATAGAGTCTGATCAAGGGATAAAATCACAATTTTTGGAAAACTGGGATTGATTCTGCAACGAAACCTTTTCCATTCCAAGTACAAAAAGGCAGTTTTTTTTTAATATTGTTATAATTGATATATTTCGGGTATATCAACTGCGATTTCGGGATGATATATAAATTTACATAAATGTTTTATATATAATTCACTTAATCTTAAATTTAAAACACTTCAGAGTTATATATTTTAAATTGTTTTTGATCAAGTGCTTAAACAATAAAGATTCGGTAGATGAGGAGCTCAGGACTGAAAAGACATGGCCAGTGCGATAATGGAACCAGATGTTTGCAGTATCTGAAAAATAAAACAAAGAATTAAAGCCCAGCCCAGAGGAAGATAAAGATTTGGAACGCACAGCGGCAAAGGTGCCCAACGAGGGCGAGAAGAATGGCACGGCCATGGTGAGGGCACGCTGCGACCGCATGATGAAGAGATAGACATAGAGCCGATGCTTGGGCAGGCACAGGTGCCACGGACAGGTGCCCATCACGGTGGCCAATTGAGCGCTCTGCAATAAATAAGAGGGATAAACAATCTATAGGAACGCCACCGAATAGGCGAATGGCACTAACGCTCTCCGTGACCAGAGTGCCGCCATAGCAGTAGATGAGCAGCTGACTGAGGGCGGCGACAGTGTAGCCAACATAGAGCAGGGTGCCCAAGCCGCTGCCGCCGGCGGTCAGCAGATCGAATATGCTGAAGCCGATCACCATGCTGGCGGACACAAAGTGGGCCAGTGTGATGATCACATAGCGTTGCCGGAAGAAGTGGGTCAGCTCAAAGATCTTGTTGTGTCGCTCGATCAGCTGCACCAGAGAGGCCTCGAAGCGTCTGCTGCGCAAGCCGCTTATCTGTGCGAGTCCTGTCGAACAGAGGATCAACAAGAGAGGTGGATGGAGGAGCAGCAAGAGCAGGAGGAGGATAAAATGGAGCTGCTGGTATTAGAGCTCTGATGGTGCTGCCTTTTGCCCTTACCCTTGTACGGCCGGAATATCGCACGTGTGTCCGCCTGCAGAAAGTTGAAGAGCGTGGCAATATGGACGCAAAACTCAAAGTAGAAGGCGTCACAGCCGCCAAACATGAATATGGTTACGTAGCCGGTGTACGCGATGAACATGTACGTGAACGGAAAGTACGGGGCATGGAGTAGCCAGCGGGGCATGCTGCATGATGGACGGCAAATGGGAACTGTAACTGTTCAAGAAGTCTATCCGCCATCCCACCCAAATCGAACTCACGTCATATTGAAAGGTGTGGTGGTCCAGGCAATCGCATCGCTCCGTCCCTGCAGATACAGGAGCATGGCCAAGAGCATTGGCTTCAGATTGTACATGGTGCACGTGAAGAAGCCGGCGGATAGGGGCCAAAAGTTGAAGCGGGCTGCCATTTCGGAATGATGACGCATTAGCTGCTGCTTTTCGGCCGTTTGGGGCTTCTTCTGGAACAGCAGCTGGTGCTGACGGGTCAGCACGTATAGGAGATCCTGACGATAGCGGAGCATGAAAAACATTTTCAGCAAGGTGACGGCCGAGGTGCCCGCCGGGCAGAACGTCTCCAGGGCTTTGGTAATCTCGCCCGCTCGCGCAAACGAGAAGCCCGCATGCAGCTCGGTGGTCACGCCAATTGCCAGGATCAGAAAATGGACGAGCGCCCGCCACTGCAGCGGTCCGGGCCAGAAGCCCATCAGGTTCAGGCCCAGGCGCGGCACGGCGTAAAAATATAGCGACAGAGGCTGATTCCTGTACAGGAAGCGGAATCCAAAGTAGCCAGCCATATTCCAAACGTTTCTCAAGCGCCAGCGAAGCGAGCATTCGTTTTTATAGGCCCGCTTGACCTTCGACCAATCGCTAATTGACTTGTTGTGCAGGCAATTAGAGAAGTTTGGCTACCAACTTTCATGGCTCAAGCTGGCCGTTCTCACACATTTCTGCAACCCAGACCTGAGCCCCTTCCCAGCCCGCCGGACAGTCTATTCCTCGTAATATTATCCTGGTTATGTCTTCATTGCACTTATATTATTTCGAAAGTGAATAACAAATACCTTAGTATGATTATCTAATGTAGTTGGGTGTTAGCCGGCATTGCACGGCATCCACCATTCATTTTTCCACCCATTTTCCGTGTGTGGCAAATTCAAATTTACTTCCACATTTAAAGTGAAATTTTACAGAAATCTTTGCAACTGAGTTTGTGGTCAATCGAATGAAAACAATAAAAGATTTTTACAATCCACTTCCGCCAATTTTCCTCAGTTACTGGTGGAAGAGGAGCCTGATACCAATCAGTCAATCACCTCGTCGATTTGAAATGGATTGGGAAAAACAAATCGGAATACTTGTTTTTGGCCTATTTCAAGAAATTCACCCACGCGTGCGGATTCAGCTAAAAAGACGGAAAAGACAAACATGTTCAAGCCGACATAATGTGAATTTATTTTAAAACCATTGTTTCTATTAGCCGTTTTTTATGCAGTTTTTTCTATTGTTTTTTAGCTGATGTTTCTTGAGCCTTATATCCAGCTTCTGCTGCAGCTTTTGCAGCTGTTTCTGTTTCCATTTGGGATTCCTACACAGAATTTGCAAGGTCAGCGTGCGGACCGAAAGCAGGGCCAGATTCTCAATGAGGCAATTGATGCGATCTTCTTTGATCAGCTTGACGGATTCCAGATGCTTAATCCTGTCGGTTATTGAGCTAATATCGTTATCCCTCTGGTTGCTCTCACGAATCAGCTCCTCGTACTTGGCATCAAGAAACGACTGCGGATCACTCGGCACAGCCTTCGTGTGGATCGGGATCGATTCGTCCAGCAGCATCTCAACATCGGTGCCAGTGCCTGTCAGACATGAGCGCGAACCGGCACGCAGCCTGATCCCGTTGCGCTCCGCACACATCAGTTGGAAGAGCAGCGATTTGATGGCACCGAGACGACCCGTGGCCAGATCCTCGAGCGCCTGCCGTGACAACGTCATGCCCATCTTGCGCAGCACCAACAGATTGAAGGTCTCCCAGTTCTGCAACTTCAAGGACAGGCTGCTGTGCGAAAAGTAATTATGTGCCTCCACCAGCTTGTAATCGAGCTGCTTGAACAGCTTCGCCACATTCACCACGTCGCAGAGATCGCGGCGCGTGCGATTGTTGAGATTGATCTGTTTGATCGTCAGCCAGGCATCCAGCTGCAGATCCTCCTCGGCGCTCAATATGCGGCTGTTCGACATTCTAGCTGGATATTGGATTGTGATTTACCTATCTCAAACGTTTTCTTCGATCTATCAATATGGTTGCCTTGGCTGATATGCAAAATATATTTAAGAATTAGTTTGAGACAATTTTGATAAATGCTTTCTGACTGCACAGAACCGCGTGGAATATTATTGTGACAGCGAAAATTCCAAATTCCCAGCCTACTTGAACCCATTTGCCTAGTGCATATTTAAAGCAGACTAGTCTAATTATTGATTAATAACTAATCATTTTCAATTAATAATCTTTGTTCGGAGTCGATTTTGATAGCACGCTGAAGTACTCCAGTAACAGCCCTGATAAGGCCGCATTTCTTGAGATTAGAGAGCGCACTCGAACCAACAAATTAGTTTATACATTTTTTTAAATTTATTTAATCGTTTAACTAATTTCCTGTAATTCACAGTTCACGTTTCACGCTGAAGTTTCCCTCTATTGGTTCAAGCCTTGCTATGTCACTAAATATTGACAATTTTCATTTAACTTAATTTATATTTTTATATTGCCTATCGTACATATTTTCATAAAGAATTCGCGGGCTATATTTGTTCTCTACCCAAAACGTTCGCCTAACAAATATTGTTTGACATAGTCCAAAGTTGGGGCCACAGTTCTCTATGCTCTGGGGCTGAGATGCTCTGAAATGTTTTTAATTTAAACTAAGGTTAAGATTCGACAGGGGTTATAGAAAAATATTTAAAAAATATACGACAATGTGTACTTGCCATTTAAATATAAAATATATAGTAACTATTACGGCATATTACAGATTGCAATATATATAGAATATATATCCAGCTGGCAGCTGGAATATTCAGTTCAATTGTGCTTCTCAAATGTGAATGTCATTATTTCAAGTGGCAAATGTTGGAGGTGTTAGCTATTTACTAAATAAACGTATTAAAAACAAAAAAGGGGATGGAAAAGTAGAAACAAAAAAAGCAAAACTTACATAACATGCAAAATTGGCCAGTTTCCCATTTTCGATGGGCTCGACTTTGGCTTCGGAGCGCTTGCCCAGAATTAGACGAGTATTTTTGCAAATTGAATCAACGCTAATTGAAGGTTCAGAAATTGTTCCATTTTGTGGTTATTACTAAATCGCAGCTAGCCGGCAGTTGGGGCAACTGGCACTGGCACTGAAACTAGCACCTGATTCCCGCCCGGTTGCAGCAGCAGCAGCAGCAACAACAAGAACAACAAGAACAACTGTGCTTAAATAACAACAAGAGTCGCACGCAATCCAATTACAACAAATTGAGGCAAGCCGCGGAGCCAATTGACTGCGTCGGATGATGGTGACTGGCATTGTTTTTAATGCGGACTCACCCGGCGGCTCATCAAATTGAAAACTGGAGGACCGACTGCCGGACAATGTATACCCCATACCCGATCACGAGATCAAGCCCTTTTTCTTTTTGTTTTGTTCTTTTGTGTGTGTGTGTGTGTGTGTGTGTGTGTGTGTGTGTGTGTGTGTGTGTGTGTGTGTGTGTGTGTGTGTGTGTGTGTGTGTGTGTGTGTGTGTGTGTGTGTGTGTGTGTGTGTGTGTGTGTGTGTGTGTGTGTGTGTGCGCCCTTGACAGACTCGTTATTGTTCATGATAATATTGTGGCTCCAGTGTGGCATATATATGTGTATATATATTGGTGGGTGCTGTCACCGCCATGCACATGACTATTAGATAAGTTTATTATGGAATAAATATGCGTGCGGGACCTGACTGTGCTGCGCGCCCATAAAGAAGTTAAGCAATTCAGCTGTTTAAAGCATAAATTGTTTAATAGAGTTAGACGCGACAATTGGGGGGGCTCATATAAAAGTGTCGCGTTTATTAATATACCCTGCAATTATCACAAATTTGCCAAAAGAGGGTTGCTGCAACAGTTGCAAATGTTACGAGCGGCAGAAGGTTGCCATAATATTATGTACTTAATTATTCGCAGCCATCTATTTATATACCCTGCAATTATCAGAATTTGCCAAAAGAGGGTTGCTGCAACAGTTGTAAGTGCTGCAGGCAGCAGAAGGTTGCCATAATGTATATACTAGTACTTAATTAATCGCAACGATCAAGTAATGTACCCTGCAATTATAAGTAGTTATAAAAGAGGGTTGCTGCAACAGTTGTAAGTGCTGCAGGCAGCAAAAGCTTGTCAGAATGTATATATTTATACACCTTTCGCTTCGATCTGCGAACATCTTTTGATTTGCCCAAAAACAAGCTTTTACCATAATGTAAAGTGATTTACTTTAAAGTTAAACCAAAAGAGGATATCTGCTAGTCGAATTATTTCAAGTAGAAAACATTGTCAACTTTATTTAATTTTCTGGGCCAGTCAGTCCCGCGGTCCTTCAGTACAGAAATTGTTATAGAATTATCAGATAAGCACAAGAATTCAAAGAATCGATTTTTTTATTTTTATTTTTATGATAGTACGTCAAAGTTTGCTTTCGGGCTCATGAGCATAAAGACATATGTATTTGTGTGTATGTATGCAGCTGTCTAATATATGCCTATGTGTGTGTGTGTGTGTGTGAGTGAGTGTGTGTGCATTTAGATGTGGTGCGTGTTATATAATTTTTGCGAAATATGCGCAGTCAGTCGAGTGCGAATGCCGCTTAATAAATTGCCATTTGATGAATGACAATTAAGCAGGCATTTTTAATTGGAACATTTATGTTTTGTTCTTTTATAATTTGCGAATATTCGGCAAGTCTTAATTGCTCTGCGCTGTGAAATTGAAACAATCGACAGCCGGCTCGGACCGGCTCGTAAATCTTGTATTTGGCCCATAACAACACTGTGCGCCAGACCTCTTCAAATGGCCTGCCTCAATTACTCATACGCCGCGTGGGATCGGGCGAGCAGCTCTCAGCTGCCTTCACCTACATTGGTTCGTGTGCGCCACCTTCATATTTTGCTTATCGTTGCCACTGGCCACCAGCGCCGGCCAAATAGTTATCAAGAATTTATATATTTAGTTTTGCTGACCATTCTGCGCAGAGTATTACGCATGCAGACAGGGCTAAATGCTATCAGAGATCAAAGTTTGCGACCAGGTTTATGGCCCCCACACAGCCGATCGAAACGAAAAGCAGTTCAGCTCAGTTCAGTTCTGTGGAGTCTCAATACGTTCGCCAAAAAGCTCGTAAAAAATGGCCAGACAAAAATGCCGACGGACGCATGCGCGATTCACGTGAACCGAGTGCCGAAACTAGTGAACGGCTGGAACGTGAGACGTCGTGGAACGAGGAACAAGGAACGAGGAACGAGGAAGGGGAAACGAACAGCAGCTGACGGTCGGCAATCGATCAATAGAAAAAATAATTTGCACTTGTTGTCTCTTTTCTATCTATACATGCACTGAGAGAAAACATTGGTAAAATGTTTTCTCTTAGCATGAACAAAATCGTTTGAGATTTGCAGTAATGGTTAGTCCAAATTCTTCAAATAGATATAGAAATTGCATATGAGCGCATTAACTGAGTATTTAATTTATAAAAATTGAATTGATTTTTGTTACTTATTTACTTTAACTAGAATTTACTCCAATATAGTCGAATAGCCTGCGAAACGATTTCACGTGGGTTAAGCCCATTTCACGGCTATGCGTGAAATTGTAAAACGTATCACTTTTACGATTTTAGACAAATTGAAATGTGGTTCATTCCCTTTACGTTTTGTTGCTTAGTTTTGGCCTCACAGTTTTCTCGCCGTGTAAAAGTTTTTATGTTAATTGTTCATTAAGCGTTTAAATAAAATTAAGTATTTTTATTTCGAACATTTGTCCAGTCGTCTGGCTGCCTTTATTTGCGTTTATTTTTAGGTTGGCTGACAAATGTTATTCTTGGTGTTTGACTTCCAGATTAATTTGTAATGCAAGCGGCGCGTGTACAAAACTGTCAAATTATTATGTTTTGACCTTAAAACAAGTGCTGAACCTTGCGAGAACGCGCTGCAATGCGTTTTTTCGTGTAAGGGAGAAGCGACGATAAGTTCAAGCTCAGTTCAAATGCCGAAGAACCCTTTTCATTGTTGAAATTCGAAACATTTGGAGATTATAATGCATCCATTGTAATGAAGATCGTGGTTGGAATATATTGTTTTATTCGATATTCGATTGTACAAGGTTTGCGAACTAATTGCCCTTGGAGCTAATAGGCGGTAGTGAAAAGATTCTTGAGCCCTATCTTAGGCCGCCTCCGATATATATGTACATATATGCATATGTATATGTATAGTTCATGTAAATATGTTGGCATACACGAGACAATTAAGCAATCAGCGCCAAACGCAAAGTGCGAGAATCTTGAATGGGTAATTAGCACATTGTAGGTCTATCTGTTATTTTCAGACGTCATAAATATAATCAAGAGCCCCACATCGCACCTCCGCTGTTGTTGTCCCATCTGTTGTCCACGTCCGAAGTCGAGCGGCCGACATGTATAAAAGCTGATCAATCGACGCTATAAGTGCGCAGTCCGTCAAGAAAATCGCCATCGTCTCTCGATTCCGCGCGCAGACGACAAGCGTCGTTTCAATAAGAACCAAATCGAACTCAACTACTCGAAATCCCGCCATATCGTGCTCGTCATATAACCAGTTAACTCGGACTCGTACTCGGACTCGGACTCGGATTTTCGGCCAAAAGTAGATCGTGAAGATCGCAATCATTAGCTGCTCGTTGAACTTTATTTCCTACGCGCATGTTACTCAACAACAAAAAAAAAAACAATACCAAAAAGAAATAAAATCAACTTTTAAATACGCAATTTTTGGCCAATTAACGCTGCGAGATAAGAAAAACGTATACAGATATCGCACAACTTTATGCAACATGCATTCATCGTAAGTGGAAATACTTCTAAAAATAGTTGAGCCTGAATCAACACACATACACACACAGACATGGCACATACATGCACACATGCATTCATACATCAGCAGGTGTATCCTTTTCATATACCCATAATAT